ATTCAATTTCTGTCCCTGAATTCTGTTTGACTCTCCGTAAACCGTAAAACACTGTTTATTTGACTTTTTTCTTTGCTCTATTGTAATTATTCTTGCTTGCAATTTGTTCATTCATTTTATACATTATTCACACCCCGACAAAATCACCATAATTAATCTAAATTAAATGTTTTTTCTTCAAATAGAGCTGTTTAAATTTTTGTCTATTTGTGCAATATATATTAGATTAGTCAGTACCAAAGCCGATACTGGAACCTAACAAATCCCAAATTCACATGTTTGGGAAACACATTAAATCAAATTTTAATGAACAGGAAAAATCAAGAAAAACATACAAATTTATAAAAATTTAGTCATTTGTTTTTGCATTAACTCATATAAATTTAAGTATATAATATTTCTATTCCTAATGATGTTAGGTGACCAAACTTTCATTTTAGTATATATAACTGTTTAAAGTTCCCATGAAATTAAAATAAAGTTTTTTTTAGATTTTAGTACCAGTGTTGCTTGTTTTTAAGATATCTAGTAGATAGTATGCTCCAAAACACTGACACAATTTGCGCTTAGAAGATATAAAACTGATATAAACATGTAAAGCTTGTAGTTTGTCACTTCCCCCTATGGATCAACAGTTTTATTCACGTCAACCCATACTTCAGTTTCTCATCCCATCATGACCAGTTAAATGCTCTTTAGTGTCTGATATGCCCCGCCCCCTTCAAGACACTTCTCATTTGCTTTTCATTTGATGCGCTAGAGCTCAACTACTCTTATTGGCAGAGCGGAGATAAAACCAAACGCTGTTGGCTGCTTTGAAAAGGGGGAGGAGCTACTCTATGTCCCACACTCTCTTGGTGTTTTGGTTGAGATTATGTCAAACAGCGAATTCAAAAAGCACATTTAAAAGCACTTTAATACAATGTTTTGTTTAAATGCAATTACAATTATTATCTATGTTCCCTGAGAAATAAGCCAAAATTTAAAAACTAAATTCTATGATATTAAATGACACTAGTTTGAAAATACAACAACTGTATTTTATTTTATTTTTTTAATATTTCTATTATTCTCTTGACCCATAGTCATCATAAAGTTCATCATTTGCAATCTAGACAATCCAGTGTTTGACTTTCTGTTACTATTTGTTGTTGAGGCTTTTATAGCTTGTAGCTTGGCTTCTTTGTGTTGGGAGCGGTTCAAGACTTATTCCAGACTTGTTTGATGACAGCCAGGCTGCACGTACAACCTTTAGTTAATCTCCCACAATGCATCATTGTTTATGGCTCACCTGGAATCGCTCTCGAATAAACATGACACTCTTCATGAGGGGAAGGTGTGGTCGTTTACACCATTTATTTTAGCCATGTGCAGCCCTCCATTCAATCACCTGTAGTGAGTCTGTAGTTGTTTTATAGGTGCAGGCTTGCACACGTGAGGGTTTGGGTTTTGTTTCTTAGTGATTTTTATTTATTTCGTTTTTAGGTATGTGGAACTTTCGTTTTTTGCTCTACTAGTTGCAAAAGGAACCAAGAGAGCGGAGTAGGGTAGGTGTTTTTACAAAAAATGTATGTAAAAGGAATTAAAAAAAAAAATCAATAAAAAGAAAACAACATGATATTGATAACAAATAATGTTGTAAATAATAATAATAATAATTATAATAGTTTTATTATTATAAATAATTATCTTAAAATAATTTAGAATAATAATCTTTGAAAATTGTAAATGTTGTAATGTAATAATAATAATAATAATAATAAAAATAATACACTTTTATTATTATTACGCTTGAAATAATCTTAAATAATAATCTTGGAAAATATAAATGTATTAATGTTGTAATAATAATAATAATAACAATAATAATAATAATAATAATAATAATAATAATAATACAAGTTTATTATTATAAATAATAGTTTTGAATAATAATCTTGGAAAATTATAAATGTATTAATGTTGTAATAATAATAATGATAATAATAATAATAATAATAATAATAATAATAATAATAATGATAATGATAATAATAATTTTATTAAATAATCTTGGAAAATTATAAATGTATTAATGTAGTAATAATAATAATAATAATAATAATAATAATAATTTATTATTATAAATAAAAGTTTTGAATAAAAATCTTCGAAAATTATAAATGTATTAATGTTGAAATGTTGTAATAATAATGAAAAATAATAATAATACAATTTTATTACTATAATAATCTTGTAATAATCTTGAAAAATTATAAAATGTATTAATATAATAATTTTAATAATCTTGATTATTTTACTCCAGGTAAATATTATTCATAAATACTTTTTGATATGCAAAATTTTACATTATTGAAATAATTTTTTAAAAAGATTAAATTACTTTTTGATTACAGAAATTTATTTATTACAGTATTAATTGTAATTGTTATTAATTAATTAATTTATTTTATTGAATCAAATTTTTAATTTAAATGTTTTAAATTTTCTTGGTGGATGAAGCAACGTTATGACTTATTTTAGGCGTTATAATTTCCTTAATAAAATTACAGTGATATATAATAATATAGTTAAGCAAAGCACAGCTAAAGTACTCATGTAATCTTGGCTATAAAATAGTAGTAATAATGCAAATATTAATGATATTAATACAAACAATAACAACAATTGTTTTACAAAATATATAAAAATATGTATATATATATATATATATATATATATATATATATATATATATATATATATATATATATATATATATAATGTACTTTTAAGTTTTCCTCAATTTTGTAATATTGAATATAAGTGATATTGTAATAAGTAACAATCTAAAGCACAGAACACTGAGCTCAAATACAGCGTTCATCTTTAACCCCTTACCCTTTGAACTTTCCTCAAACAGAGGGATTTTCCTGGTCAAGTCTTTGGTTTGAGCGTCAGCGGAAGGCTTCATCACTAACTCATTTATTCTCCATGAAGTCGGCTTTAAATCCCATGATTCCTCTGTGCAATAAGAGCCTCTCAAATGGACACAAGCCATTTCTGTGTCCAGTCTCGCAAAGCTGAGCTGACTCTGTGTGTGCATGTTTGTGTGTGAGCGAGCGTGATGGCACCCATATCTGAAAAGATGAATTCCTGAGCTGTGTTTTCTGGATTCCTGTGTCTTGGGTTGTTCACTCCTGATTTGATTTGTGTGTGTGTTTTGGGATCGGTGTGTTAAGTTTTGGAGGACGTCCCGCTCATTGTTTGTTTTATGGTGGGTCTGTTCAGGGGTTTGTTTAGCTGATGAAAGCTCAGGCAGGTGCTGTTCCTCCTCTTCTCCACTGTTGTGACATTCTCAACTCTCACTTACAAAGTTGTTGTACGATACTTCAAAGTGTGTGTGTGTTTGTGTGTGTGTGTGTGTGTTTGCGTGTGTGGGTTTTAATATTTTCAGCCTGCTTCATAATTGTAAAGGAAATATTTTCTGTTGTTTTTGTTTTGTTTAATATTTTTTTGTTTACTTGTTTTTTTATTTCGTCATATTTGTGCTGGTTATTTTATGTAATATAATGTAATTTATTGTATTTATTTATTGCCGTTTACATTATTGTTTTTGCTAATAGGTTTTTGTTTATACTTTATAACCTTAAAGCATTTTTATTTTGTCGTATTTGTGCTTGTTGTTTTATGTATTATATTGTAATTTATTGTATTTATTTATTGGTATTTTCATGTTTTTGTTTGTACTTTAGTACTTTGAAATGTTTTATTATGTTGTTTTATTTTTGCTTAGTGTTTGTATGACCTAACATTAGTTTTTTGTTTTTATAAATTTTATTGTTATTTTGTCATATTTGTGCTCATTATTTTCTGTAATTTATTGTGTTTTTTATTGGTTGTAAATTTTTTTGCTGATATGTATTTGTTTGTACGTTGAAATGTTTTGTTATGTTGTTTTCTTTTTGTTAAAATTTTGTATAAATGGTAATAATATTATTTTTTTCAATAGTTTTTTATTTTGTCATATTTGGGCTGGTTATTTTATGTAATATATTGTAATTTGTTGTGTTTTTATTATATTTAGATTTTTTTGCTCATTTTTTTCTTATGCTTCAATACTTTAATGTTTTTTTGTGTTGTTTTCTTTTTTAATGTTTGTAAAACTTAAAAGTATTTTTTGTTAGTTTTTATTTGTTTTTTTTATATCATCATATTTAAGCTTGTTATTTTGTGTAATACATTGCAATTTTATTTCTTTATTGGTATTTAACTTTATTTGTTGATATGCTTTTGTTTATATTGTATATTGCTATACTATTAGAAATATTGTGTTTTTTCTAATGTTATTTTGATTTAACTCTTAAAGCTATATTTTCAGCCTCCATCATACTTTTATTACTTTAGTTTTTATACTTTGTACCTTTTTTAGTATTAAATTTTTTTCTTCATATTATTTCTTATTTAGAAAAATATTTATTTTTAACATTTAATGTATATAATCTATCAGTTTATATTATATTACAATTTAGTTTGTGTCAAATCATATTTATTTAGAAGAAGAAAACACAATTAAAAGCCACAGCAACATTTTTAATTGTAAAACAAATGTTTGTTTGTCTGGTTCATTTGTTTTATTAATTTATTTTTTGTTTTTGTAGATTTATTCATTGATTTACATTTTTTTTTTTAAATAATATTTTGTGCTTTCACATTTTTACTTGCACACAAAACCACCAGAAACTTTTAGAAAACTGATTTTGAATTATCAATAGCCCAATAAAAAAAAGCTACACCTACAAGACTTCAAACTCACATAGTGAATAAAGTACTTGGTTTTAGGTCAGGAAGTTTTTACTATCTGTGTATCATGTCGTGTTATATTTTTGCCTAGAGGTTATTGTTAATCTTATCATATGTGCATTGAGCTAAATACTTTTTTTGTCCAGTCTGGTTTGCACAGAGCTGCTCTCAGTCAGTCCATTAATTTCTCCTTTGTTTCTCTTTGTGTTTGTGTGAAGGAGGTAGTGAAGGTCAAGGTCGGATTCACCAGCGTTTCCCAGAGAAGGACTGGGAAGATAACCCCTTTCCACAAGGCCTTGAGCTGGTAAGCGCATCACAAACAAACACTGATTAACATATCCTATCCCGGAATTTGTATATCTGTCCACAGTATTTGACACAGCTGGTTGTTTTAAGGCACTGCAGATATTTCACCAGTTGATCGATTACATTATGCATTGCAATCATTTTTTTAAATTTTCTGAAATACTGTGATAAAATATTGCAAACGAGGCATTTTTTTATGAAATGTGGGGTCATTTGCATACATTTCTAGCACAAAAATCTGAAAATTAAAAAATTGGATTAAAAAAAAAACTATTTCCTGTTTTTTTCTGACATTTTAGTCATATTTTTGTACTGAGGTAATTTTCAGAGTGAGAATCTCTTTTTATTACTCTATAACAACCTGATTTTTCTTTTGCACAATTTTTTGTAAAATAAACTAAGCTAATTATCCATGAACATATCCCCATATAAACCTTCAGAATATGAAATAAACTTTTGTGAAAATGGATTTTAAAATGCACAAATTTAACAAATGCAATAAAGGAAATGCTTAATGTACTTTACGTAATGCCAAAAAACCAAACAGTTATCAGGCAAATTATGTATGAACAAATCCCTTTTTATAAATCGTCAGAGTCCAAATTTGAATAATACTTTCATGTATTAAATATTTAGTAGAATAACATATAGGTTATAAGACTAATTATCTATAAACAAATCCCTATTATAAACCTTCAGAATATGAATAAAACTTTCGTGAAAATAGACAAATTGATAAAATGCAATAAAAGAATAACTTAAAACTAAACTTGTCGTAAGACTTAAAAAATAAAATTATTAGGCAAATTATGTATTACCAAATTCCTTTGTATAAACCTTTAGAATGCAGTTTTAGAAACAGCTTTAATAAAAAAAAGGAATTTAAAATGCAGAAATTGATAAAATACAATAAGATAAAACAAAATGCAAAAAAAAAAGCTCTTAAAAATGTTCTTCACATTATACTAGATGATAACCACACTTCATTAAAATCTCAAAAATTAATTCATCTTTGTTTTCAATGTTCTCTTCAGTTCTGTCAGCCCAGTGGATGGCAGCTGGCTCCTGAGAGAAAACCTTCATCTTTCTTCGTGGCCGTTCTCACTGACATCAACTCAGAGCGGCATTACTGTGCCTGCTTCACCTTCTGGGAGTCCGTGGAGAACCCGCAGGTTTGTGTGGAGCACGTGCAGATGAGCAGGAGGAATGTGAGACTGAAGAGAAGACGGGTGTTATATAACAGGGGCTGATGGGTGGGGTGATGTACTGCTGTGTGAACATGGATTACAGTGCTTTTGAAGACTTTTTTCTTTTTAGATTGGACATAATTCCAGGTGTAGTTTTAAGGTGTTTTATTGATTTTGTGTGTGTGTGTGTGTGTGTGTGTGTTCGTTCAGCTGCAGAAAGGAGAGCCCAGTGAGGCGGATGAAGATGACAGTCCAGACGTGCTCCAGCCTGCTCAACTCTACGCTCCTAGAAGCCTCGTCCTCGTATCCCGATTGGACCACACAGAGGTTTTTAGGGTATGACAGACATGCAACCAACCCACTATCACACAATGACACGCAAAAGCCACACAACAGTCAAAGATGAGACACAACAGTCACACGCAGTCACATAATGACACGCACTGTCAAACATTGACATGCACTGTCACACAACGGTCACACGAAGTCATACAATACTTTCACAACAGTCACAACTGTCGTTCAACCATCACACAACGACACAGACATTAACAAAATAGTCACAAAACAGCCAACAACCACACAGGCAGTCAGTCAGTCGCGCAGGCAGCCGCACAGACATCCAGTAGCACAGGCAGCCGCACAGGCAGCCAGTGGCACACTCATCCAATCACACACTCATCCAATCGCACAAGCAGTTGCACAGGCAGGCATTTGCACAGGCAGCCAGTGGCACAGTCAGGCAGGCGCACAGTCAGGCAGGCTCACAGTCAGGCAGGCACACAGTCAGGCAGGCGCACAGTCAGGCAGGCGCACAGTCAGGCAGGCGCACAGTCAGGCAGGCGCACAGTCAGGCAGGCGCACAGTCAGGCAGGCGCACAGTCAGCCAGCCGCACAGTCAGCCAGCCGCACAGGCAGTCATCTGGGTTATTCTTGCAAGTTTGAAAACCTCATCTGTGTCAGCCCGCTTGAAAATATGACATCGTTGGCGATCACAATCCACAGAATTTGCAATGATAAACAGCAAAACATATTTTACATATGTTTGCATACATGCGTAAACACAGTTGTGACATCACACACCGATGACATCACATAAAGGTTTAAACCTGACCTACCATATATACAGGTCTCTTTTTCTTGCTTTAATAATTTTTTTAATGCCATTTTTTTAATGCCAATTCAAACTATTAAACACTGAAATTGTCAATGATAATCAATAGAGTTATGAAACATACATTTCCCTGTATTTATTACATGTATTTATATCTTGCATCTGCAGAACTGTTTGAGCCTCATCTACACTGTTCATGTCGATGGCCTCACTGTTCCCATGGAAACAGTGATCGGAAACCTCCTCACCTGCATCATTCCTATAGCTGGCGGCTCTCAGGTGAGAAATATGCTGAGTTTACCATGTACCCTGTCAGTATATTCTGTTTTTCTTCAACACAGATTTTCCATTGCCTCTAGACAAATGAATCCAAGATTGAATACACATGTAAAAGATTGTTTATCCCAGTGCATCATGGGTAAAGTTATGAAAAAAAGAAAGATGGACTGATGTTATTTACATTAGTGCACTTGATAAGTTTAAGGTTAATGCTAGTTTATATTAATATTTCTTTATTAATGATCATTTAAATATTCAAATGCTTTCTGGTGTTTTAATTCTGTCATCATTTACTCAGCAGTACAAAGCTTGCAAGACTTTTTTTTTTACCCTTTAAAAAAGGGAAAGGAGATATTTTAGCCAAAACAAACATCCTGGTTGCTCTCTTGCTTGTAATGGATTTAGGTTCAGTATTACTTTAGTATCTTTGAGATGCTGTTTAATGTTGATTTGATCGTTTTAGATTAAGTCATTGTGCTGCTTATAAATGTTGACTAGTCATTTCCCATGTAGTAAAGAGTGTCCAGTTTCTTCTTTTCTATTCTACAAAGACAAGTCATACGAGTTTAAAATCACATGAGGGTTAAAAAAATGATAATCTTTCATTTTTGACTATCACTTTAACCTCTTAACTGTAATCATCAACATTTTCCAGCACATTTTTGCCTATAAACCTGAACTTATCTTGACCAGCTATATATTATATGCGTATAGTGTGAACTCAGAATGTAGGGCGACGGTAAGGAGGGTAAATATGATCTGCTTCTCGATAACAACCTACTCATATTTTCAAGGTCAAGTTTTTTTTTTTTTTTTTTGGGGGGGTTTAAACCTTCCCTTGAAGTGTAAACCTGACTCCCTTGTGTTCCAGATAAATGATCCCCCTCTTTGTAGTTTATCTGACTGGCTTCTGGGTTGTTTCCAGGTAACATTTACCTTTGAGCAGCTTCAACCAATCAACCCATTTGTGATTCTGCCTGACAATCAAACATCACTTGTGCATTTCTCAGTCATTTTTTGAAATCACCGCCGTTCCTCCTGAGAATCAATGATCGTGTTTTGTTTCTTTTCTGATTCTTTGGCTGTGATCAGTTTCAACTTCACCTTTTTTTGTTGGTGATGGTTTCTCTCATCTGCTTATGAGGGGTGTTCCGGTACACAAAATTCTGAACATCTTGAAGTCACAGTTCGATTGTATGTCTGTACAGCTAGGGAGAAGTGGAAAAACTTTGGGACTTAGGGAGAAGTGAAAAAATTGCTTGATTTTTAATAAACTGAATTACCTTCGACATAGATTTTTCATTGCCTCTGGACAAATGATTCTGAGATTGAATATACATGTAAATGATGCTGTAACCCAGTGCATCATAGGTAGTGTGGCAGATCTGTACAGTTTTGTAGAGTTTTATTCTTTTCTGAATGATGGGCACAAATTGCACTAATGTGAAGAAAATGTGTGAGAAGTGAAAAACTGAGAAGTAAAAGAGAAGTAAAAAAGCTGCTTGATTTTATCATCATTGATTATGGTAAAATTGCTGATGATTATTAATATTATAAAAAGTTATGAACATAAGCAGATAAAAATTAAATAAATAAATATATACAGTATATATTATTTGTTTAAATAATAAAAAATGTACAGAAATAAAATGAAGTTTGTCTAATAAACATGGGAATAATTTTCAAGTTTAAGTAAAAGTAATTTGTATATATATAATAATGTAATAATATATCATTATATTGTATTATTATTTTATAATAATATAAAATATATATTGACGTACCGGTCCGTTGTGGTAAAGAAGGAGCTGAGCCGAAAAACAAAGCTCTCGATTTACCGGTCAATCTACGTTTCTACTCTCACCGATGGTCATGAGCTTTGGTCATGACCACAAGGACAAGATTTCGGCTACAAGTGGCCGAAATGATTTTCCTTCGCAGGGTGGCAGGGCACACCATTAAAGATAGGGTAAGGAGCTCTATCACCCGGGAGGAGCTCGGAGTAGAGCCGCTGCTCCTCCACATCCAGAAAAGTCAGCTGAGGTGGCTCGGGCATCTGTTTCAGATGCCTCCTGGACGCCCACCTTGGGAGGTGTTCCAGGCATGTCCCACTGGGAGGAGACCTCGGGGAAGACCCAGGACATACTGGGGGGACTATGTCTCGGCTGTCCTGGGAACATTTCGAGATCCACCCGGAAGAGCTGGAGGAAGTGTTCGAAGAGAGGGAAGTCTGGAGTTCTCTCCTTGGACTGCTGCCCCCGCGACCCGGCTTTGGAAAAGTGGTAGAAAATGAGATGAGATGAGATGACATGAGATAAAATATATTCAAATTAGGGATAAGTGATTATTAAAGCGATCATTTAAAAAATAAAATAATGAAAAAAAAAATAGAATAACTTACAATTAAATTGACGGTTTATTCCGCTGTGGCGAAAAGAAAATGAATGAACAATTAAATCTGGTAAAATTAGTTAAATATCTGTCAAGAGAAAATAAAGGCAACAGCTACAATTAAGTAAACAGTGGAAGAAAACAAATCTGAAAATAAAAGCAGCTTAAAAAATGATAGTACAAAACCATAGTACACTCCAAATATATACTTTATATGTTCATATGGGAAGTCAGATTAAACTATTTGAAAGGGATTGTGTTTGGTACTCTAAACTTCTGTAGAGAAACGGTTTGGTGCGAATACATGTACCGTTACACCCCTACTGCTTATTGTTGTTTATTTTATGGTATGGCACCCTGATAAACACTTAAGAAGGTCCACACGCACACACACACACACACACACACACACAAACACACACACACACACACACACACACACACACACACACACACACACACACACACACACACACTCACAGGCTTATGGGGACGGTGTTTATGTCCTGGGCCGGTTGGGTGGTGTGGATTCAACATATGGACGGTGGCAGATGGCGGCTAAGCACACAGCTAGCATATGAATGACAGTCTTAGAAACACGCTAAACAATGTACTACAGCATCACAGTGTCTTTGCTTTTATGTATATGATTGTTAGTATTTTTATATTTATTAAAAATCAAACTCATGATTTGTTTGCAACAGTTGTTTTTTTTTCTCTTTCTTTTTCTTTTTATCTAAAGATTTTTATTTAGCATTTTAATTTTAATGTTTTGGTATTTGTTTAGATGTCTGAGTAGCACTTCATTGTTTTTACTTTCATTTTGATTGCAGTTGTAGCTTAGTTTATTTAAAATAAGCAAACATTTTAAGCATTTAATTGGCAATTAGCAAATTTTATTTTTTATTTTGTCCGGTTTCAGTTTTAATGTAAAATATTGGTTCAAGCGAAAATGCATTTTTAGATTTAGTAAACATAATAACCCTGTCGTAAATAGTACTAATTTACATTAAAGTCTTTGATTTAAACAAACATTTTCTTAAACATGCAGCTGCCCTGACACAATATGTATTATTTATTTATTATTATTTATTTATTTATGTATTTATTTAAATAGATTTTATTTTATTTATTACATTCAGCTGGCCTGACACAATATGTATCATTTAATTATAAATTACATTTATTTATTATTTATTTCTATCATTTAATTTGGTGAGTCAGGTGTGTGTTTATCATAAATCTGTGTATATGTTTATAAAGAATGATTTATTATGATTTTTTTTTACTGAAGCACTGCTGAGAATTCATTATTTGAGACTTCCTGAAAGTCACTTTTTACCATCTCTGCAGCTCCATAATGGCAAATAAAACACGCCTGTTTATTTTCCCCAATAACTCATACCGATATGACCATACCAGAAGTCTTTGATGTATTATCTAATCTGTTTTATTTTTAATATAGTCCTGTGTCAGTTTTAATGTAAAATATTGGTTCAAGCGAAAATGCATTTTTAGATTTAGTAAACATAATAACTCTGTCGTAAATAATAATAATTTACTTTAAAAAGTCTTTAATTTAAACAAACATTTTCTTAAACATACAGCTGCAAATAATATGTATTATTTATTAATTAATTAATTTATTTAAATTGATTATATTTATTTTATGTATGCCTGCAGCTGCCATGACACAATATATATGATTTATTGATTTATTTATTTATTTAAATTGATTTAAATAGATTTTATTTTATTTATTTGTGCATTCAGCTGCCCTGACACAATATGTATTATTTATTTATTTACATTGATTTGAAATGATTATATTTATTTTATGTATGCCTGCTGCTGCCCTGACACAATATGTATGATTTATTGATTTATGTTTTTCTTTAAAATTATTTAATTTTTTTTTATTTTATTTATTTGTGCATTCAGCTGCCCTGACACAACATATATTATTTATTAATTTACATTGATTTTAATAGATTATATTTATTTAATTTTATGTATGCATGCAGCTGCCCTGACACAATATGTATCATTTAATTATAAATTACATTTATTTATTATTTATTTCTATCATTTAATTTGGTGAGTCAGGTATGTGTTTATCATAAATCTGTGCATATGTCTATAAAGAATGATTTATTATGATTTTTTTTACTGAAGCACTGCTGAGAATTCATTATTTGAGACTTCCTGAAAGTCACTTTTTACCATCTCTCCAGCTCCACAATGCCAAATAAAACACACTTGTTTATTTTCCTCAATAACCCATACTGATATGGCCATACCAGAAGTCATTGATGTATTATCTAATCTGTTATGCAAGTCAAGAGTTTCCCAGACCTCACTTTCTGTTTCAGTAAGGCTTTTACCTGTTAAGGCCAGACACTTATTGGGTTGCTTTTTTCAACATAATGTAAAGAAAATATACAATATACACCTTTAAGTGATAAATGTCTGTAGATTTACATCGCAATGCATATATTCTTAAATGAAATTTTCTCAAGTTTTTCTCCTCTATTAAAAATAAATCTCCACTTTAGCAGCACTTAAATACAGCAAAGTGCACAGTTTTATTCATTTCTCTGCATATCTCAAATATTTGAAGCTTTTTTTTAACTTTGTGATGCGTTCATTCATAGTTTGAATGATTGTATATGATTTTAGTCTACAAAACTTGCCTCATCTGCATATTTAAATCAACAATTTTTGATAACTTGTGTTGGGAAAAAAAGTTTAATCAACTGATATGCATTAGATTATCAATTATTTATTCACATGCAGTGTCTTGCTTAAATCCAGCAGCAGTTTTTCAATATACCTGTGACCTTTGCCCTCACAGCAACGTCTTATCATCACGACCTTGTGTTTTTTCATATATTTCTTTTGTTTGCTTTTTTTGCTCCTTCTCTTTCTTTGGTATTGTAATGTCTTTGAATTTTTGTGTGTCTAATGGGTTTGTGTTTTGTGTTGCTGTGCCTTGTTAATCTAGCCGGGCCAGGAGGACAGAGAGGAGAGCTCGGTACGCCATGTTTGATTTCGTTCAGCTCCTTCTCTCACTGTCAATCCTGCTTCCCCTCCTTTATGTTCTGCTTCATCAATTAGAAAACACAAAAAATCATCAGCGGAATTAATGACATCACTAAAATTGGAATCAAAATAGATTTAGAACGTGACTAACTGCTGTTTTAGGGAATGATGTTTAATAACCGATTTGGATCACACTTACAATAAAAAAAGGCTTTTGGAGGTCTGGTAATACTAACATTCACAGTTATAAGCAGGGATTGTATTTCGTTTTTTTTTATTCTTATTTTATCTAATAATTTTTTATTGTTTATAATATGCTGAAATAAAATGTGAATAATTGTATTTGTATATTTGTATGTATATATACAAGTACCAGGACACAAAATTGACAACATCTTTATTTGGTTCTGTACAATTAGGGAGAAGTGAAAAACAAAAAAAAAATGGCTTGATACTTTTTATTGCTGTTTTTAAAATATGTTAACATTAGCCGATTGAAATATATATGTATACATGATGATTTATTGGTTTAATTGAATAAAAATTTATTGTACAGAAATGAAATAGAAAAAGGTTTTCAAATAGATATGACAATAATAATAGTAACAATAATAATAATAATGCTCAAATAAATTAACCTATTATAAATGTTTAAGTGAAAGTGAATTATTTAAATGATATCAAATATATTCAAATTTATAAAAGAGTTCTGGTTTGATTTGCTTTTAAGGCCTAAAAATAAATAGTGTACAAAAATTTATGAAAATAATCCCAATCAATAGAAAATTATGAGTTCTTCCAAACTGAGCTATTAAAGTCATCGGGCGAAATGATTATATTCATATTGAGTAAATATCACAGAAAAACAAGAAATTGTAATGTCAGATTTTCTTAATATCGTTAAGCCCTAGTATAATGGTATGTGTATGTAATGTGTTTGTTTGTGTGCCCATGTATTTTTATTTTACTGATCAATTATTGTTAGTATTTGTTAGTATGCTAGTATTCATATTCATCTATCAACTAATGCCATCTAAAAAATGAAAACTACAATTATACAATTATTACTGAAGCTTTACTATTATAATTAATATTTTAGTTTAGTATTTTAGTATATATATATATATGAAAACAAAAACTAAATATTATAAAACTAAATAATAGTTTTTTATATTATTTGGTCTGACTCATTGAGATGCCTCAAAGAAACACGTAATCAATAAATACAATAAACGCACTGCATTGCATTGCTATTGTCATTTAAATTCCCATAATTGGATGGGAATTTCAAGTGCACAATGAGTGCGTTTATCTCAGATAATCGCTTTTTTTTTATTGGCATGCATGACTGCTGCTCACGCTTCTGTGCAGGTCCGTGTGTTATCTCTGTGGATTGGTCCGGTCCTGAGCTTTCATTACTGCAGACGTTTTATGAGGGTTTATAAACGTGCATGTGCTCTAATGCGAGGCTGTCAATCGCTTGTGTGCTGTGGCTGTTTGAAGCGATGACATCATCCACGCACTGTCATTTTTACAGCCACCTTTTAACTTCCTGCCCTGACGTGTCATTTACTCTAAAAGATATGCTTTTTTCTTGACACTTATTGACCTCTTCCTGAATTAACCAGTGTGTTCAAGTCCTAAAATGGGCATGATTTTTGTGTTTGGTTGTGTGGATGATTCTGGACTAATCATATTTGTATAATGTGGACGATTTGCTTTTCCTGATTGATCACTGTCTGTCTTACATGATTACTGGTATTATTTTTGACTAATCTTTGACATTTTTTTATATGAATGTACTGTGGGGTGTGCTATATTTACACAAAAATATGGTTGGGGATTTTTCTGAAAAGTGATAATTGATATGCTGCTAAATTTTATTGAATTAGCTTTTTTAGGTAATGTTTTAGGTAATACATGAATGACAATGATAAATAAATGACACTAAAACTGCCAATAGGTGTTGACAAGTACCTGTCCTAATGAGTGATTCATTGAATAATCCATTCAAGGGATTCATTCTAAAAGGCTGGCTCATTTAGAAACCAGTGCATTTTAGATATTTAGATTTACTTGTTTTAGAAACAAATGTTTTAAGAAACTAACTTTATTTAGAAACTAAAGTTATGAGTAAATGGAGTAATTGATTTATTTTGTTTGTTAATTAAGAAACCAAACGCACCATACATTTTATTATAGCTTAATCTAGCTGTATTTAACAGTCTTCATCACTAAGGGATTATTTTGCCCTGTCCCAATGTTTTTTTTATTATTATTTTTAATAGCAATACTGATTGTCAACTTTCACATCGTTAAAAAAATTACAATTATAACATTGAGTAACACTTTACGTCACAATTTAAGATGTTAACAAACTATTAATTAACAGTTCGTACACACCGGGATGCTTTTCATTTGCGATTATCGTCATTGTTTTATGAGACGTTTTTTGCCGGATTCAAACCCAAACGATTTTCACTGGCTTTGAGCAGAAGAGTATGCAAAATCGTTCCTTGACGTTAGATGGCGCTACACAACTTTAAGCTTCTGACACCCGCTTGTAACACAGAAGAAGAAGAGAGAAAGTTAGCACGCTTGTTGTTAAGGTTACTGGGGACTCGAACAAGCATGGATGGTTCAAGTAGTAGCTCCAGCTGAAGAAAGGATTATTGTCCACCAGTGCAATAAGCAGCTCCACGTTCATATCGCCTCTGGACATCTTCTTCAATGTGCGCTTGCATTGACAATCGTGCGCTTGAGCTCCTCCAAGTGCTGTTTACTGTAACTTCAGCAGCTCTGTGCACGTGAACAAAAGTGCCAATCTAATTGGTGGAGAAGGTTTTGACGCGGCATGTCAAAGTAATAAAATGAGCATGAGTCGTTCCGTTAAAAATTACGCTTTTACACTTGCTGTGTTGATGTGCACGATCACATTAGCGCCCTTTATTTAGTCACAAGGCATTAAACGACGATGGAAAACGCGAACAAAAAAGCATCCCGGTGTGCACGGGCCTTAACACTACAACACTGTTAACAATCCTCTGTAGAATCTACAAAAACTTACTGGCAGCAGTTCAGAAGTATCTAACTGTAAATCAAGTACAGCAAAATACTGTATTTACATTTACAGCATCATTTATCTTGCGGTATACGTATTTTCAGTATTGTATATATTTACTGTGAAATGTACAGTAATTTTCACAATGCAACTTCTTAAATATGGTAACATACTGCATAACTGTTGTACAGTAAATTACAGTTCATATTGCGGTAAAATACTATGTAGTTTACTAAAATCATTAACAGTGTAGCTTAATAAACTACTAATTAGTTGTTTATTAATAGTTAGTGAGGTAGAAGTTGGATTTAGGTTTTTGGGTAGGATTAGGCATGCAGAATAAGATCATACTTTTAAAACTACCAATGAACATTTTGATGTATTAATAGTAAGCAGGTAATAAGCCAGCAGTTAATAGCATGAATCTAAAGTGTTACCTAATGAGGTCAAACTTTATTTTGATGGTCCGTTTGTTTAAGATTGGATGTCTGCATTGCGTCTACATGCCAATTAATTCTCATTAGATTTTAAGTAGACTATTAGGTTGTGGGTTAGAGTAAGTTGACATGTACTTGCAATGTTTCTTATAGTCAGTTAAATGTCTGTTGAAGGAGCAGTATTAGCAGATATTAGGCAGACAGTCTACTAATACCATCAGAGTAAAGTGTTACCCCTATTACTTTTATCGAAAATAAATATTGCACACCTCCAAATTTATAATGCAAATCATTGTATTATTAAGTTTTTTAAATATATGATTCTTTCTGATGTTTCTAACAGCAATTTTTCAAGTCTTCATTTATAACTTTCACAAAAAGCACTTTACATAAAGGAGGCTTGTGCACAGCAGGAAATCAATGTTATTTTTTCCTCTCTATTTTTGGTGCCCTTTTTATAAAAGGTGAATGGCTTCATTTTTTTCACCACCTCCCTAATAACCTCTTTTCTTCAGCTCACCTCACGACCAGCCTGCCACACATTTTAATCTTTCCCATAATGCCCTGGTGGAGGTATAAGATTAGTTTATTTGTATTTTGAGAAAGAGCTCATTTTCTTGTATCATCTCCCTCTTCTTACAGAGGACTATAACGCTTGGCGCGGGCGACAGGCAGGTCATCCAGACGCCCATCAACGACTCTCTGCCTGTGAGCGGCTGCAGTGTGGCTCAGCTTTTCAGACAGCTCGGTAAGCCAATCAGCAGCCAGCTTACGTGCTAAACAGCCAAATCAGCCTCATTAAAACAGCAACAGTTGGTGTCAAGTGTCAGATGTGGAGGCTGTAATCCCCACCTTGTGTTGTTAAATAAATAACAGAGGAAGTGAGGCTGGTATTTTTAGCCTCTCTCTCTTTTTTTCTCTCTCTGCAGGAATCGTGAATGTGCTCTGTCTGTTTTGTGCTGCTTTGACTGAGCACAAGATCCTGTTCCTCTCCAGCAGTTACCAGCGGCTGACGGACGCCTGCAGGGCTCTGCTGGCCATCATGTTCCCACTCAAGTACAGGTAAAGTGGGTTCATATGTTGAGGAATCTGAATGAATTCATTTTATTAGGATTAACCCATTGAGACGTACCATGCCATTTCACAGTGTGTCACGATCACATAATAATAATACAAGAAATTAAACACTAATTACATAACATCAACAAAACAACAACAAAACACAAACTCCTTATGCTTTCCTGGCTCCACTAGGTTTCCTTATGAAAATTAAATAAAAATACATAAAGAGAACACAAAATATACTGCAAAAAAATCATTCACACACATCTGCCATCCAGCTGTTTTTCTGCCGTAGTTGTTTTAACACGTATATACAAAACTAATATAGGTGTATTATTAATATAATGATAGTAATTATTATTTGGTTTACAATATGTTGTTGCAGAAATTCAGAAAAGTTGCAATCAAAATTGTCAGTTTATAACAAAAGAGTATTAAAAATCATAAATACAGATAAAAAACATTAAAAATAAAGTTTATACTAAATATAGCATTTAAAAATTTGTTTAGTGCCCATATTGTCATGATCACCAGCGATCTAACCCTCATAGATCGCTGGAGAACATTCACATTCACACAGACTACAACCCTGTTTCCATATGGACTACAAGTCCTGTCATGCACCACACACACACACACACCTGCTCCAAGTCTCCTTTGATTAGACTCACACAGCTGAAGCTGTTTATGTACTGAGTACACTCTCATATATCAGGCTCGCTTTCACACAGTCATTGCTGAGTCTGTTTGGTTAACACTCTGTAACATTACAAAGCATTCCCTGGTATAGTTTCTACATGTTCTGGCCCTTGCTTTGTTTATTGTTTACCCTGTCTGCTGCCTGTACCGACCATCTGTCTGTTACTTTGATAAATCTTCAAAATATACTGACTGAATATTGAACTGCTTTAGAAAAATAAGAAAGCATAAGGAAATATGAATAAAAATAGACCAGTTCAAATTGGGACAGGACTTAAAAACAGCCCATTTATTTGTTTAATCTGTTTTTAAATGTTTTTTGGAATGTTTATCTATGTGCTGTTCTTATTTCTCCCTGTCTTGTCATCATTGTCTTTATTTCTCCTTTTTTCCCCCCAGTTTTACATACGTTCCCATTTTACCGGGGAAGCTGCTGGAGGTGCTCAGCAGTCCGACACCCTTCATCATCGGAGTCAACTCACACTTCCGCTCAGAGACTCAGGAGCTAGTAAGTGCATTTTCTCTCACTTCATCCTCTCTTCATTTTCGATTATGCAACACACAACAGAACACTTAAACTTTTTAGATGAGATTTATTCAGATGTCTGACATACAGTGCTGTGCAACATACCAAAACATGCGTAATGATACAGAATCATTTATAAATCTGATTTGGTTTATCTCAGTAAAATAGTTTTGCTTATAGTTTTTTCTATCCTACTTTGTTGCATTTTTTAAAATCTAGATTTAGTGTTAGATCAGCAGTCCTTCTTTTTTTAACAACAGTTTTTAAATAAAGATGCTGATTATATTTTTGTTTCAAAAGTCAAGCAAAAACTTGCATTCAACAAATTTTGCTTTCGCTTCTTGATCTTACGTTTATAGGTTCCATTCAATAGGAAATTCCTGACATGTTTATCTGAGCTTATCTTGTTAAACAAATATCATCTGCTGTAACAATAGGATTTCACTTTAACAATTACACCTGTTTGACTGTGATTATCTTGAATCGCATATTTACAGGGGGATGGTGGACATTTCTGAACATGTTTACCTTTGGTCATCTGTATTTGCAGTTTGCGGAGATAAAGCGATACATGATACCTGTAAATGAAACTTGATCCGAGGGATCTTTGTTTTGACCTGAAAGTGTTTACAGATGGGAATGTAAAAGAAAAGACAATTGCAAAGGACTTTGGATCTATTTTTTGGGCGAAAAGTGTCTAGTCTCATGTTTGTTTCCACTAATAAATAGTAATGAATAAATAAATAAATATAAATAATTAAATACAAATTAATAAATATAAATATTTAAATAAATGAAATTAAAAAGTGAATTCCACCCTTATTATTGTACAATTACGACTTTTTGTTTTGGAATTGGATATACATATATTTCATAAATAATAAAAAAATGAATAAATTACATAAGAGACTTATAATTCAGATTTTTTTTCAGGGGTGTTTTAAAGTATAAACATTTTTTACATTTCAAAAACTAAATTTTAGGCCTTAAAGTCTTTGAAAATATTGTCTTGCAGGTCTTAAATCATTGTAAACGGGTTTTAATTTTCTAATCAAGCCAACAAACATTTATTAACTCTTTATTTTTTTAAGTCTATACACCCAATCAGAGTATGCTTGTTTTGACACAGTATTACAATATGTGGCTAAGAAATAACAAAATTAGATTTTTCTTTTGAAGGAATTTTTTTTTTCACTGGCCAAGCTTTTTTTATTTCCCTGGGTGTTTAACCTCATATAAGTCTGAAATTTTATTCATAATAGCCTTGGACAGGTTTAACCCAGTAAAATCTGATTTAAATGATGTAAATACAAAATTACAAGATGTTAATTTGAAATTGAACAATATAATCTCAGAATTGTGAGATTCGATCTTTGAGTATTGAGATGTAAACTTGTAATTGGAGGTAAGCATTGTGAGAAATAAACAATCAAATATTTGCTTATTGTTTATTTATTTATTTGGGTCTTTAGATTCTGTAGTGAAACTGGAACTTTTATTCTCATGTGAATCATTTGTCAGGGTCAGTGTTCAAAGATGAGACTAAAATGTAGTCAAAAAGATGAAAACTAACCAATAGTAATATTATTACTTTCCAGTGTTTATTCATTGGATGAGAGGATCAAAGCTTACACGTTCAGTCACATTACTGGCACAGCAGACCTGTCAAATGTCTGTTTGTTTCAAGCCAATTTTGTCAACAAGATTAACACCGGGTTGAACTTGAGTTGTTTAAAATAGTTGTTCATTTAAAACACGAGTATCTGATGTTATGCATTGTTGTGCATATAGAATGATACAGCTTAATGCAGGCTCATTCTAACCTGTGATTTATTTGTATTTCTTTTAATACACACAGCTCGACGTAATCATTGCAGACCTGGACGGAGGCACAGTGACCATTCCCGAGTGTGTCCACATATCCGTGCTCCCTGAGCCACTTCTCCACCACACACAGACTGCCATCTCCATGGTAAACCAACCTGTTTTACCTATTACCTGGATGTCTGCCAGCCCTGAGTAATAATCGCTGGCGTAGATGAAGAAGTCACAGTTGACGGTTTAGTCTTTAAAGATAATGTAATAAACCACAGCACAGATTAAGGAAATGTTGCGGGTTTAATGCACTGGGGCTATAAAAACAAATATTTACCTTCGTAATGAGGTTTTGTGCCAGCAGTAATGAAAAGAAGGATTCTCGGTAGATATTACTCAATAACAAACACTTCCTTGTTGAAGCTACGCTCACTGTTTAGAGAGTAAAATTATAGGGCTGATAGTGGTTTAACAGGCAGGTTTATAGTGGCACTTTCAATTTTACAGTAATGTAATATATTGTAATCTTTTTTAACCCTTTATAAGACACTTATTGTAATACTCATTGGGAAAAACCGTGGAGTAGTGTCAAGACCTTTTGCAACTTTGTTTATTTTGAACATTCAATTGAGTACAATCATACGGCATTTCAAGGTACATTGGTATCTCAGTATGTGAACTTAGGTGGTATAAAAATTACCTGCATTAGTGTCAGGTGTATTTACTACACAGTAATACTCAAATTTTGTAAATTATCAAGTGAAAAACAGCATAAAGAGAAGAAAAAAAAAAAATTAAAAAAAAAAAAAAAAAAAAAAAATATATATATATATATATATATATATAAATAGATAAATAAATAAATAATAATCATAATAATAGGAAAAAGATAAAATAAAAATACAATAATCAAAAATAAATGAAAATTAAAACACCATTTACATCCAGGGTTAGAACACATGTCATAATATATTTCCTTCAAGAGTAATCTCAAGTGGCCATCTTCATTATACATATGGGGACACATTATAATATGAATAAGTGTAATCATATACATGTACATGCATTAGCATATATTTATCTATCAGAGCATCATCTTCTATTCATTTATAGCAATAAAGTCAGGTCTTCTAACTAAAATATATTCACCCCATTTCCTCCATTTTCTCAGGAATATATCTTTCTTTAAGATGACAACGAAGGTGATTCTTTCCATTGTATAAATCTCAATAGTTGCGTCTATCCAATTACTAAGGGTTGGTCGCTCTTGCTGTAGCCATTTGCGTGTGATTGCTTTTTTGCTGGCAGCCATGAGAGCACGCATAAGGTATTTATTTTCTGCCGTTACCATATCTGGATCCACACAGCCAAAATATAACAATTTACTTTCTAGAGGTATATCTTTTTCAAATATATGTTCAAGAGCCTCCTGTATTTCTTTCCAGTATTCTTGAATATACATACATTCCCAAAAGATATGATAATGGTTTGCTTTATTGCATCCGCAGTTACGCCAGCATTTTGGAGACTTGTCAAGACCTTTTGAATATGTCTATGTCTTAAAAAATCTGTTCTATTATAATCAATGTCAATGAAGTTACCATATATGGTTCTTCTCCCTATAAAGGGTTAAAATACATATGTTGGCTTCGTATCTCTAAATCAAAAGTAAAAGAATTTCCCATTAGATCTCAAGTGCATGCATACACATTGTCCTAACTAGACATAACAAGATAAGCAGTGCATTTCCTCCATGTTTCTGTAAGCTAAGTGTAATCTCTAATAAAATGGCATATCTTAAATGTCTTTTCTATTAAAGGGCAATATTAGAAATAACGTGCTGGAGATATTTTGACATTGTCCATTTAAATGAGGAGTTTTTTTTGCTTTTTAAAATTTAATTATTTCTTGTCAACACACTTTTTAAACAGGCTCTGTCAAATCCCACGTAACAAATCCAGTCAGATTATCACATCTAGTTCCAGTATTGTTACCACCTCACAAGCTCCCTTCAAACTATTCAATGTGATGCATGAGTCAGTCTCATACCTGGAAGTATTTTGTTTTTTTCATTTTAGGAAAGTGACAAAGAATAGGGATTTCCGTCCTGTTTACATACCTGAAAGTGTCAAGTTGTCAGTATGTGTTTGCTTAGATGAAATCAAAACTGGCACAGAAAAGTCCTTGTGTGTGGCATTCGCATTTTAGCCCTCTGGAAACAAGCCCAGAATCGCTGTCTGTGTGTGTGTATATATGTACTTGGATGTGTGTGTGTGTGTGTGTTTCTGTGGCGCCAAAGCAGTCAAACCATCGCCGCTGAAGTGGCAGAGGTTGAATCTGCATGTTTGAGCGAGCAGGGCTCACATAACCGCATCTCCTCTGGGACAGAGATGATAATCGCGCTGAGAAAAGAGATCGCCATGCCTCAGTAATGAACCCACTCCATCCATTTAATTGCCTGGAAATCGTGGGGTTTTCTTCGTTTTTTTTTTCTCTCTTTGCTGATCCCTTCAGTGGTATTTTTTATTCAGAGGTTGAAGATGCTTCTGATAGTTGTGTAGGTGACTGTTGCCTTTGGTTAATCTGAGGCCTTTTCAATTACCTAAGTGAGTTTTGTTATAAGCTCCATCTCCAGACAGCAGCTGTCTGTAATTACAGATGGTCCCATTTGCCAATTTGGGCTCAGTTCAGTAGGAGAGTTTGCTCACATTTTAAAATATACATGTTAAACTTTATTAGTGACTTAAATTATGGACTTTAAAAAATTGTATTGTATTATAATCAATGGCAATGAAGTTATCATATATGGTTCTTCTCTCAATAAAGGGTTAAAACACATACACGTTTACTTCTAATTTCCAAATCAAAGTAAAATAATTTGTCCTTTAGATCTCAAGTGTATATATATATAACACTTATATTTATATAAATAAGCCCTTATTATATATATACATTTATACATAGATGTATGTATGTATTTAATAATTATACACCGTGACCGTACACATAAAATGATGCAAACACAGACTCTTATTTTTTGTATGCGATTCATTAACTAACACTTAATTAGTTTACACTAGGCTTCATATAAAATATAGAATTTATATGCAAATTATATATAAAACATTGCTTTCAATTAAATTGATCAATAAACAATTATGGTAGGACGGTCAAAAGAGTAAGATAGCTGCACTGATTGGCGTAACAAAAGGGAAGTGGGGGCACATTGTATTTGTAAATGATTGTTTTAACAGAATTGTATTTATATTAGGAGGTATTTTAGGATTCGATTTCTGATGTGTATGTCACATGTTGTCTTGTGGGTGTCTATGTACAGCAGAACTGTTTTCTAAAACAAATTGACCTTTAGCTGAAATGTACTAAAACTAAACTAAAAGCCAATAAAAATAAATAAATAAAATGTGAACTAAATGCATACATATTAATGAGATATAAATTGTAGGTTTAATTAATGCTGTTAATATGCATAATAATTTGCACCTCATTTTTAGCCATTAGTTATTTTAAAATACATCAATGAAAAAATAACAATGCTGTTGTGACTTTGCAAAAACTTAAATGAACAAGGAAGACTTGTGATTTATTGTTTTGTCGTCAAAGACACAATGAACGGTCATGTGCGGTTCACATATTGATTTATGGCTTGATGCTTAAAATAATGGCATTGTTTGTAGATGTGTCAAAACGTGAGACGCGCCAGTGAAAATTCAGTGGATTCAACAACAAGTAAATAATCAACCATTATAATGTTATACTGTGTCATTATACAATGAGCTGTTGTAATTATAGTGTTACAATAATATATTGGATGTTTACGCAGTATGATAATCTACCACATCTAGTTGTTTTTGGTTAAACTGTTAAACACATTTTTTGGGAATTTAAACTATAATAAAATTGACAAATAGTTCTTATTTTTGCAGAACATTTGTATAAGTAATTGTTAAACTATGAACTATATAATAAATGAATTAAAATCTAAAAATAATAATAAAATATTGATAAAAATGACAAGTTTTTTGAATAAGAGCAAAATCTGTTAAATATATTAAATATAAATAAATATAAATTAAAATATTAAATATATAAATATAAATGATAGTTATTTTAAAATTAGATTAATATTGATATGCACACTAAAATTAAACTTAAAATAAAATTATTAAAAAACATTGCTAAATTTATAACTATTTAATACAAAATAAAAATGCAATTATATAATGAATGAATGTAAAAACCTTTTTTTAAAGACTGAAATAAATTAAATGGGTATATATTTTTTCCAATGCACATACATTTTTAAAGTGCGAGCTATCTAAAGGATTACCCTAATGAGCTCATTTAAAATATTAATAATCTCAGAAATTAAATATAAGACTTATTTTAGTATCATTTTAATATGCATTTAATGATTAAACTCCAACAAATCAAAATAAATGGAATATTAATATACAACAACAATTTAGCTGCATTATTGTACTGTGATCTCAATATGCATGTTTTGTGTAATAAAGGTTCTGGATCCAGAGCTGGAAGTGGCTGATCACGCTTTTCCTCCACCTTCCATTCAACCCTCCGCTCTTAAGATTCAGGTACTTTTCCTTTGTGAATCTATAAATATGTTGTTCCTCCTTCCTTGTGTATAACAATCAGCATCTTACATAACGTATAAAATGCAAATTTTTCTAGCTGAATCTCTTCGGGTTGATGTGACATTGCAGGATGTGCTTTGTTTTAATGAAAGTTGAATTGTTTTATGTGCTCTGCAGGATAAAGAGATCCGCGCTGTCTTCCTGTGGCTGTTCTCGCAGCTCTTTCAGGGCTATCGGTGGTGTTTGCACATCATTCGCATCCACCCTGAACCCGTCATCCGCTTCCATAAGGTAATTAATACAGCCCTGAATACGATTTAACAGTAGAACCTATGATATTTACAGTGTTGGACAAAATAATTGACAGATCTAAAAATATTGGCCTTTTTTATATATCCAAAACATGATTCCATTTCAAAAGCAAGCAAATTTCTGATGAACTATTTGTTGTGTGAGAGACGTGTTATTTTTTATCCACCTTTAACTGAAATACTTGGTAACTATTATACATTTGAACGGTAAAACAGATCATAAAAGCTTGTTGTTTTCTCTCCAGGCTGCTTTTTTGGGGCAGCGAGCACTATCTGAGGATGACTTCCTGATGAAGGTGCTGGATGGCATGGCCTTCGCCGGGTTTGTGTCTGAACGCGGTCCTCCGTATCGAGCCACTGACCTGTTTGACGATGTAAGTCATGGTTCAGTTTTAGATTTCTCAATCTTAGAGTCTTAAGATTCTCTCTGACTTCTTTATTTTCCTTTTAGCTCATAGCCAATCAGGTGGAGCGCATTCGAAAGGAGACTGGAGATCCTCATAAAGTCATGAAGCACATTAAGGAGCTGGCGGAGCAGCTTTTCAAAAATGTATGTCCGATTTGTGGGTCTTATATGAATATATATTTTTGTCCAGTTTTTTTTCACAACCTTTTATTTTTAAGCTAACTGTATATATACATACAGTTGAAGTCAGACTTATTGCCCCCCTGTTTATTTTCCCCCCAATTTCTGTTTAACGGAAAGAAGAATTTTTCAAAATATTTCTAAACATTTAATAACTCATTTCTAATAACTGATTTATTTTATCTTTGCCATGATGACAGTAAATAATATTTGACTAGATATTTTTCAAGACACTTCTATACAGCTTAACGTGTCACTTAAAGGATTAACTAGGTTGACTAGGCTGGTCAGGGTAATTATCGTATAACAATGGTTTGTTCTGTAGACTATTGAAAAAAGTATATAGCTTAAAGGGGCTAATAATTTTTACCTTAAAATGGTTTTTAAAAAATTTAAAACTGCTTTTATTCTAGCTGAAATAAAACAAATAAGACTTTCTCCAGAAGGAAAAATATTATCAGACATACTGTGAAAAATTCCCTGCTCTGTTAAACATCATTTGGGAAATATTTTAAAAAGAAAAAAATAATTCAAAGGGGGGCTCATAATTCAATTGTACGTTTTGATTTTAAATTTTATCAATAGTTTTGTCATTTACCTCACACTAAAAAGGAGAAAAATTCCAGTATTTCCAATATTTATCATTTGAATAGATAAACAGTGCGTTACATTTTTAGCATTACAAGTTTTGAAATGCTAATTTATTAGTAATAATAGTTGTTTTAGATAAATTATGATTTTGCATATGAACATTACAATAATGTTGTGATGTCTCAATCAGATTTCAACACAATTATAGTTAATTTTGTAGTTTATTTAAATTTTTATTACAATATACAATTTTAATATTCGTATTATTTTAAATATATAATTCCCACGCTTCTTGAAAAAAGTACTTCATAGTGCCTGGATTTCAGACAGACCAATTCAAGACCTCGAAGAGGTTTAAAAACATACCTAGGTTCTTGAAAATGCTTGAATTTGTAGTTTATGGTGTTATTTCAACAATTATGCTGTTTTGCTTTAAAAAAAAAAAAAAAACTGAATGAAAAAACTGAGAAATTCTTAATTTAAAACCTTAAATTTAATATTTTATACTAGAACTGTGACAAATAATGCACATTTGAACAACATATCACAAACCGCATTTGAATATTACCAGTGTTGAATGAACTGGAAACTGATGGTGTTTTAAGAAGTCCTTGGATCTGCTGTTCATAAAAGAGTGAAGACACATGAAATATAGCTATTGACTCCATTTTTAATAATACTTTTGAAGATTATTTGTTCCCTCTAAAAACAATCTATTTGTTTCTTCCCCTCAGGAGAACCCGTACCCTGCAGTGACCATGCACAGAGTCCAAAGGACAGCTGAAAGCGCACATCCTCGGCTGCCACAGACCTCTTTTCCCCTGCTGGATGAGGTGGCCGTGCAGCTCTTCATAGACCACGCTACAGCTAAGCTCAAAACTGCCCCGCCGGTGGTCAAAGCCGAACTCAAGAGCATGGTTCCAACCGGACCGCCGCTCGGTGAGACAAAGTTCACTTACAGTGCACGCTTTCCACATTCAGATCAACTAAGAGGAGTTGATATATGTTATGGCTTGACATTATGGGTGTAAGTTTTTATGATGTATCAAGAGTCACGATGTCCAGGGCAATGTCAGCATAAGAGGGATTAATCACTCGCGCACCACTCTCTACAAAACAAATGCATTTATACATATCATTTTGTTAAGACTTGTGTGAGTGAAACCTGCAGTGTGTAAAAATACAGCTCCTATCTAAATGTTTGGGTTTGCTGTTATATGTTTTGTTGATTTAACATGTTTGTTCCATTTAGACTCATTTATTAAAGTGAAACTAAAGCTTTGTGCGCATGTGCTGTATTGATGGTAATTGCATTGCACAGGTCACTCTTCAGATTGTGAAAAATCTATACAGTAGTCCCAAAAATATAGTAGACTGCTTTGTGCTAATCTTCGTTCAAGCTTTGAAATAATAGTTGTCCCTTATTTGTAATCTTTTTTTTTTTTCTAGTTGACTTTGTGGACCGTAACGGGAATGTTCTGGCGAACAGCGCCAGGAGGTTAGAAGTGGTCCGGAACTGCATCACATACATTTTTGACAATAAAATGCTGGAGGCCAAGAAGGTAAGAAGCTCTTATTTTGCTATTTAAGCATTTCTGTTCAGCATAAATAAGCATGTGCTGTATTTATTATAAGCGATAAAGTCACAGTTGTTTTAGTGAGAAACAAGCTGACATAAATGTCTTTGCAAAAAAAAAAAAAAAGTCCAAAAGCATTCAGTGTGTTTAATAGTAGTTGGAAGAATGAGCTTGTAATTCGAGTTTTGATTGCAAAAAATATTCCTTTGTTTTGTTTCTGTGATATGATGTAGTTAAGGAATGTCACACACAAAGAGTGCTGTTTTCCTCATTGTTGAGTGTGTGTGTGTGTTTGCAAATGTGACATTGACTTCATACAACAGTGCAACAAACAAGCCATTTATTTTGAGTGAGTTTAGACACATTATTTTCTATGCCAATAGTTCTGAAGCCAGAGGTCATTTGTATGATAACCTGACTCAATAAATGATTGGTCTTTTCATAGAGAGATCAATTCTAAATCAATCATTTTAAACCAATAGTTGGGATTTAGGATTCAGTGAATTAATTGAACTAATGTAGTTTTATTTAGTTAGATTGTATGTTTTTACATTTTTAAAAATACTTTATTTATAACAGTTTTTACTGTACAAACCAGAACAAAAAAACATTTGCACAATCTATAATATGTTTTATACAACTGATAAGGAAAAAAATTCAAAAAAAAAGGGAAAATTAAATAAGTGAAGTAATTAATAATAATAATAAAATAAAAAACAATTACATGAATAAAAAGCACCAGTTCATGCAAACATGCATCATATAGAGTAAATAATATACACCATTAAGCTTTACTTGATAAAACTCAAAACATTGAAAAGAGTGATATGGTTTTAAATTGAAGAATTTATTTCTTACAGTTATTTTAATATTTAGTTTATTTTGTTTTGCTTACTTTTTTTGTATTGTATAAAAAAAGAACCAATGATTCAGTGAATCACTCAAGACATTAGTAGTTAGTTGTCATCATAGTCATTGATCCATTGATCCAACAGTCAAGATACCAGCACAAAAACAAAACCATAACAGCAAAACCACGTTTGTTTCCATTATTTAAAAAAAAATTCTCAAACAATATTAAAAAATATTTTTTGTCAATATCCAAAACTTCAGATTCATGCTGTCTCTAGCCTTAATGATCTCACGCTACACTGTGTATTATATGTTTTGGTGTGTATATAATACCCTTATGGATGTATGTGTGTGTGTGTGCAGTTGATGCCGGCAGTATTACGGGCTCTGAAAGGACGAGCAGCTCGTGTTTGTTTAACGCAGGAGCTCAATCTTCACGTCCTGCAGAATCGAGCTGTTCTGGACGACCAGCAGTTCGACTACATCGTCCGCATGATGAACTGCACCCTACAGGTAAAAACACCGCAGTCAAATCACATCAGTACAGTGTCAAAATAAAAAATTTAGATCAATTCTCTGATCAAAATGAGATGCATGTACAGTGGTGTGAAAAAGTGTTAGCCCCCTTACTGATTTCTTTTTTTTTGCATGATTGTCAGTCTTTAAAGTTTCAGATCATCAAACTAATTTAAATATTAGTCAGAAATAGCACAAATAAACACATCATGCAGTTTTTGAAATGGGGTTTTTATTATTAGGGGAAAACAAAATCCAAAACTGCATAGCCTGCATGTTTATTATGCCCGAGGTTGTTGTGAAAAAAAGATTCTGGTCTGCAAAATATTCTAAGTCTCCAAGTCAAACTTTTCAAAAAATGACAAAGTCTGAGATCTCCGAAGTCTTTAGGCAAAGCAGTTTATTGTTACAGCATCAGTAACAACAGAGACAGGTCGTTCGAGTGTCTGCCGAACATAGGCTTGCACACAGTTTAAATACATTTCTGTCTTAATACTCCACACTAATTTACACATTACACACCTCCATCTGCTTCTCCGCTAATGGGATCTTAAATCTCTCAGGTGCCCGCCACCAATAAAGTCTCAGGGTCTTTCAGGGGTCTTACCCATGTCCAGTTAAGGTCTTTCCTTCCTGTTTCAAAAGTGATGACTCAGCCATAAAACAATGCTCAACCATATATCCTGTTCACTGTCCACTGAGCTGTCAACTGTAAGTCCAGCTGAAGTTCATAGGTACTCATAATTTTTAGATGTCAGTACAAATAAGTGTGGGCGCACGTGCAGATGCGCTTTATCATGAGTTGCAGAACAGAACGCAGGTGTCCATTTGGCCTTGCTTCCATAAATTGACTCTCATTGTGACATTAATGCTGCTCTTCTAATTTATCTTTTCATTTCTGACTGCATTTGCACAGAATGACTTTTTTATTTACCAAAGCACACATACTTGATAATAATGCCGTAGGTATGGGTAATAATACAATAGAAATTAATAATAATAATAATAATAATAATAAAAAAACTGAAATCACTCAAATAAGCATATAAATAAGAGTAATACATTCATCAGAAATTCATCAAGACACAATGAATTCCCCAACAAGGTCTGTAGCCACACTGATGCCTGATTAATGCTCCACCAATTCACATTCAAGAAATCAGCGTTAAAGAAAACTATAAATACCAATATTACCATTGCTGATAGCCATGTTCACTAAAACACAATAAAATTGAAGTAAAAAAAGAAAAGAAAAAAGAAATCACTTTAACAGGACCTGCCTGACAAAGCGAAGTAGACCAAAAGATCCTCAAAAGCTAGACTTTATGCTGAAAAACAAATGAGAAATAAAATGACTGATATCTTCCAGTCTGGAAATGGTTATATAAGTACATTTTATAGCCGCCATATAATAGCCAATGAAGCTATGATGGCAATAAACGTAAATACTACTTCTAATGAACATCTGACTGTGACTTCATGTATTTGTATTGTTGTGCTGCAATAAGGAAGTGCAAAATATGATATTTTTGGATAGGTTTATGATTGTTCATCATCCGTTATCATTGTTTACGATCATAAATGTTGTTATTCAGATGTTTTGTTTGTGTTTTTGTCTTCAGGATTGTTCTCATATGGACGAACATGGCATCGCTGCTGCTCTGCTGCCGTTGGTCACGGCTTTCTGTCGGGTGAGTGTGCTTGTGAATCAATGTTTGACTGGTGTTTGATAGCAGGAGTGTTTGAAGTTAACTACATCTGTGTGTTTTTGCGTGTGTTGTAGAAACTTGGTGGAGGAATCACTCAGTTCGCCTACAGCTGCGTTCAGGAGCACATGGTGTGGACCAATATGCAGTTCTGGGAGGCCATGTTTTACAGTGATGTCCAGAAACACATCCGGACGCTCTACCTGGAGAATGGCGAGGAGGGAGACGCATCCAGTCCTGTAAATAAATGTTTTCTGCGTTGTTTTGTTTCAAAAGTTGTTTTAAAAATATAAATAATAATAAATATATTAGAAATAATATAATATAAATTAAAATAATACATCAATATTTCAGTTGGATAATATTTTTAATAGAGTTTTTCAATTATTTTGTATAATTTAATGTGTTGAAAGTGTATGTTTAAATTCTAAAATGATTTTAATATTTAGTTTTAGTTTGTTCATAATTATTTTTGTTATAAAATGGTAATTATTATTCATTATAAAAGTTCTTTTTTAATTTATTCAGGGGTATCTACGGGTCTTAAAGTCTTACATGTCTGAAAGAAAACAAAAACATTTTAGGCTTTAAAAAGTCTTAAATCCACTGAAATATTGTGTTGTAGGTCTGAAATCGTTTTAAACGGGTCTTAATTTTCCAATTTCCATGTAAAGCTATAACCAATTGGTGCAACATCCACCCAAAACTAGCAGTATATTTCAATGAAAGTTTTTACAAATGTTTATTTACTAACTCTATTACTTATTAAAATGGTTTAATTATCTTCCTTATAAGGTTTTAATTGGCCATTTAACAAATCTTTAGCGTTTTGCCTTGCGCAAGTCCGAAATTTAATTCATTATGGTCTTAAAAGGGTCTTAAAAACTCTTAAATTTGACTTGATAAACCTGTAGAAACCGTTTTTTTTTTATTTATTTATTTTTTTTAAGATTTTAATAATATTTTAAGTTATTAAATCATTTGTTACATAGTTGTTTGATAAGAATTTCAATAGTTTAGTTAATTTATTTTAGGTATGAAAGTTATATACATGTTTTTAATTTAAACCCGCTTAAGAATTTTAGTTTTTTTGATTTATTCAAAGTTTTTGTTTCATTTTATTGGTTTTTAATAAAATTTGTAAAAATTATTTAAACTTTTTATTAATCAATTAATGCACACAAATATTAAGCAAAAATGCCGCCTTTTTTAGTGCTGCATTTGAGGGCTGATCTGTGTTTATTTCAGGAGGTGGAGGGTCTTGGTGTGTCTCAGAATCAGCTCAGCGCTCTTGAGCTGGCATCAGAACAGAGTCGTCTGTGGCCCACGCTGAGTAAAGAGCAGCAGCAGGAGCGAGTCCAGAAAGAGGAGAGCACAGTGTTCAGTCAGGCCATCCACTACGCAAACCGAATGAGTTACCTGCTTCTGCCCCTCGACACCAGCAAAAACCGCCTGCTCCGCAACACCGGCCTTGGGGACGTCGAGAGCGTCAGCAACAGCTACGTCACCAACAGGTTTGTGCGGGCTCGGACTGGGAGACAATAAAAAAAGCAAACATTTTATTCAAATACAGGGTATCCGCGGGGTCTTAAAGTCCTAATATGACATAAATTTCAAAAACAAAATTTTAGGCCTTAAAAATAAAAACTTATAACAAAAATATATTTATAAATAATATTATAACTTTCTGCTGTGCATACTTTTAGTTTTTAAAGAGTTTTTTTAAGTTATGTTGAAACAATGCATGTATACAACTAGAGTCTGCTTTTTTGACACATTGTTTAAAATACGTAGCTCAGAAATAACTAATTAGAAATATAGCCGCAAGCGGCGATTGACGGGGGTCAAGCAGTTTAGCAGGGTAAGGTTATATAGCAGTCATGAAGCCTGTGAATTTACAATGCATAGCGCCACCATGTGGCCAATGTCTACGAGTTTCATGCTATGGCCAATTACTTTACATTCTTTTCTAAAGAGCAGTAAAATAAACTATAAACTATCAGTGGTGTGTTACTGCCATCTAGTGGACACAGTTGTGATTTTCTTTACATATGTTTTAAAACAAGGTGTTTAATCATAGAACCAGTTTTGCCAATTAGAATTATTATGAAGAGGTTAAATGGGACTAAATTAGATTTTTAATGCACAACACTGTTTACATCATGTCAAAGTGTGATTCAAAATGATCCTAAATGCAATTTCCCTGACTTTAAACTTAAAAAACAAAGGTATGCAAATGTTATGAACAATAAATAAGTGGTCTTGTGGTGACATCTAGTGGTTAGAAATGGTAGGTAACAGTTAAAAGTCTGTGTTATAGTGGCTAAAATGATAGAATATTGAAAATATGTGTTTTTGAGACCTTTAAAACATCCAAGATGGACAAAAAGTTTAACATGTAAATCATTTCAGTGATAAGCTTAGACTAAAATTGGTAAAGTGTGTAAATGAAGCACATTTACTGCATTTCTAAGCCAATTTAGCATGTTTTTAGGACCATTTCCACTATTATAGCGCCACCTATTGCCCGATCTTCACAAAATTTTGCATGTTTCTTTACATTGATATGCCACATGTGCTCATCAATTTCTGTGATGTTTTGGTTTTTCCTTATTGGTTTACAGGCATGTAGGTTCATGTAGACACGCCCCTTTTGTAAATGACCCTGTTACAGCTATCAGAAGTGAAAAGTTCAACTTTTTTTTAATAATTATTGATCTAGATAGTCCAGAGATTCTAACAACACTTGTTTCGTTGCGATTGAGTGAAAAACAAGGGACTAGTTCGCAAAAGTAGGGTTTTCATTAATTGATGCATATTTAACGAACGGTGTGAGTGACAGCAGTGGTTTTAGTGTCAAACTGTTCGGTATGAGCAGGCTTATCATATGATATGTATATTGTGTGGTTGCGCAAAACTGTGTGTAATAACCAATCAATTACACCCTCAAAAAACACAAAATCGCCCCCTAGTGGTCGATTTCTTTCAAAATTCTTACAGACCTCTAGGACCATGAGTTGAACATGCCCAGTGAGTTTCGTTTTGATCAATCATCGTTAACCTTGTTAAATGGCTGCCTAATTTTAATTGGCCAATGGCGGCCATGTTTTTTGAGATATGCCAATGTCCTTTTAATATGTTATGACAACTTGGCCAAAGACACTGCATGCCAAATTTCAAGCTGATTGGACTAATGGTTGTAAGGCTAGAGTGATTTTTATGTTTTTTAGGCTTTATAGCGCCACCATGTGGCTAAAATCCACGGGTTTTGCACTGTGACCTCAAATTGACCCTACACATATGTGTACCAAGTTTGGTGATGATATCTCATTCAGTTCAAAAGTTAAAGCTACAATTAGCATTTAGCTTCAATTAGCATGGAACGTTTTTGCGTATTGTTTTGCATGAAGATAAAAATTTTAACTTTTTTTCAATAATTATTGATATTCAGTGTCCAGAGAACATTTGAGAGCTGGTTTGGTTTAGATTGGTTGAAAAACCTAGGACTAGTTTGCAAAAGTAGGTTTCGGACAAATCGCGATGTAGCGGGAAAACGGTGCGTCGTAGAGAAAATCTGAGTCACTCCACTTTTGTTTGCACAGACCCAAGGATTCCAAATATGTAAATTATTTGATTCTACGACAAACGGTTTACAAATGGCGGCCAAAAATGTGCAAAATGTTGTTTTTTTGCGGTATAGCGCCACCTATGGTCCGATTGAGCTGATCTTTGGCCAGGGTCTAGTGTACCGGGGTACTACCATCTGGCCAAGTTTCAGCTCTCTAGGCCTTACGGTTTGGTCTGCCCAATAAAAACTAGGGCAGAAAAATAATAATAATAATAATAAATATAGCCGCAAGCGGCAATTGACGGGGGTCAAGCAGTTTAGCAGGGTAAGGTTATATAGCAGTCAGGAAGCCTGTGAATTTACAATGTATAGCGCCACCATGTGGCCAATGTCTACGAGTTTCATGCTATGGCCAATTACTTTACATTCTTTTTTACAGAACAGTAAAATAAACTATAAACTATCAGTGGTGTGTTACTGCCATCTAGTAGACACAGTTGTGCTTTTCTTTACATATGTTTTAAAACAAGGTGTTTAATCATAGAACCAGTTTTGCCAATTAGAATTATTATGAAGAGGTTAAATGGGACTAAATTAGATTTTTAATGCACAACACTGTTTACATCATGTCAAAGTGTGATTCAAAATTATCCTAAATGCAATTTCCCTGACTTTAAACTTAAAAAACAAAGGTATGCAAATGTTATGAACAATAAATAAGTGGTCTTGTGGTGACATCTAGTGGTTAGAAATGGTAGGTGACAGTTAAAAGTGTGTTATAGTGGCTAAAATGATAGAATATTGAAAATATGTGTTTTTGAGACCTTTAAAACATCCAAGATGGACAAAAAGTTTAACATGTAAATCATTTCAGTGATAAGCTTAGACTAAAATTGGTAAAGTGTGTAAATGAAGCACATTTACTGCATTTTTAAGCCAATTTAACATGTTTTTAGGACCATTTCCACTATTATAGCGCCACCTATTGCCCGATCTTCACAAAATTTTGCATGTTTCTTCACATTGATATGCCACATGTGCTCATCAATTTCTGTGATGTTTTGGTTTTTCCTTATTGGTTTACAGGCATGTAGGTTCATGTAGACACGCCTCTTTTGTAAATGAGCCTGTTACAGCTATCAGAAGTGAAAAGTTCAACTTTTTTTAATAATTATTGATCTAGATAGTCCAGAGATTCTAACAACACTTGTTTCGTTGCGATTGAGTGAAAAACAAGGGACTAGTTCGCAAAAGTAGGTTTTTCATTAATTGATGCATATTTAACGAATGGTGTGAGTGACAGCAGTGGTTTTAGTGTCAAACTGTTCGGTATGAGCAGGCCTATCATATGATATGTATATTGTGTGGTTGCGCAAAACTGTGTGTAATAACCAATCAATTACACACTCAAAAAACACAAAATCGCCCCCTAGTGGTCGATTTCTTTCAAAATTCTTACAGACCTCTAGGACCATGACTTGAACATGCCCAGTGAGTTTCGTTCTGATCACTCATCGTTAACCTAGTTTAATAGCTGCTCAATTTTAATTAGCTAATGGCGGCCATGTTTTTTGAGATATGCCAATGTCCTTTTAATATGTTATGACAACTTGGCCAAAGACACTGCATGCCAAATTTCAAGCTGATTGGACTAATGGTTGTAAGGTTAGAGTGATTTTTATGTTTTTTAGGCTTAATAGCGCCACCATGTGGCTAAAATCCGCGGGTTTTGCACTGTGACCTCAAATTGACCTTACACATATGTGTACCAAGTTTGGTGATGATATCTCATTCCGTTCAAAAGTTATAACTACAATTAGCATTTAGCTTCAATTAGCATCGAACATTTTTGCGCATTGTTTCGCGCGAGAATAAAAATTTCAACTTTTTTTCAATAATTATTGACATTCAGTATCCAGAGAACATTTAAGAGCTGGTTTGGTTCAGATTGAGTGAAAAACCTAGGACTAGTTCGCAAAAGTAGGTTTCGGACAAATCGCGATGTAGCGGGAAAACGATGCGTCGTAGAGCAAAAAAACTTGGTGTGCACTTTTGTTCGGGCTAACCCAAGGATTCAAAAAATGTAAAGTTTTTGAGTCTACGACAAACGGTGTACGAATGGCGGCCAAAAATGTCTAAAATGATGGTTTTGGGCGCCATAGCGCCACCTATGGTCTGAATTGGCTAATCTTTGGCCAGGATGTAGTGTACCGGGGTACTACCATCTGGCCAAGTTTGAGCTCTCTAGGCCTTACGGTTTGGTCTGCCCAATAAAAACTAGGGCAGAAAAATAATAATAATAATAATAATAATAATAAAAATCTTAACAAAAACAATAGGGTTTCAGCGCTTCGCGCTTGACCCCCTAATAATAATAAAAATCTTAACAAAAACAATAGGGTTTCAGCGCTTCGCGCTTGACCCCCTAATTAGATTTTTGATGGGGCAAGTGCATTTTTTTCTGCTGGGCCATTAAAGTAAATCCTTAGAGTTTAGCCCTATGTAAGTCTGAAATTTCATTCTTCATGGTCTTAAAAAGGTCTTAAAAAAAGAAACCCTGAAATAAAGAAATAAACTCTACAGATGTATAAAATGATATATAATATGCAATGACTTTAATAAAATGTAGCAACAAATTAATATGTAATGTAAAGGAAAATTAAACATGACATTAATAAAATAAAATTAAAAAATCAAATGCATAAATGTACAAATAAGTGTGCTTTTTAATGGTCTCTTTTAGATTGAAGCATGTATTAAATTAAAAATATATTGAATAATTCTTATATAATATGCATATGTTTAATATGTAACCCAAATCTATACCCATTTCAACAATTTTTAAATACATTTTACATAATAATTTACTTTAATAAATACCTTCACATTTAATTAATTAAATAAAATGTCATTTTTACTTTAAATGTGTATTTTTTTATTATTTAGAATCAGCTTTTTAAGAAGCATCAAAATTTGATATGTAAGTATATATGTATGTGAAATTATAAAGGATCATGTGATACTGAGGAGTAATGCCTTCAATTAAAAAAAAAGATAACTAAATCCATCAAAAGCACAATAAAACAATTTTTCCAAATGTATAATATGTATTTTTCCATAATATTACACCATTTTTTTCCATTTGTCCAGTATTGCGGGCAGCATGGCAGAAAGCTACGACACCGAGAGCGGCTTCGAGGATGCCGAGAGCTCAGATGTTGCAAACTCCGTTGTTCGTTTCATCAACCGATTTGTTGACAAAGTGTGTAACGAGAGCGGCGTCACCAACGAACACCTAAAAGCCCTCCACACAATGATACCAGGTAAAACTCCTTTCTTATTTTTTTAATTATTAGCCCTTATATAAAATTATATATTTTTTGGTGCTGTATAAGAGAGAAGATTTTTTAAAATACACATTTAAAAAAAAAAGTTTTAATATGTGACATATCTGTACAATAGTGTTTTTTCTGTAGCCAATTACAAAAAAAAGTTTTTTAGTTAAAATGTATTATTAAAACTGTCTTTATTTTGGCCAAAATAAAATAAGTAAAATAATTAAATAAAGTAAATATAATTTAATTATATCTATTTAAAAATAAAAAAAAAGAATTACAATTTATTTGGCGGACTCATAATTTGGACTTCAACTGTACATTAAGTTTTTTCTTAACTTTTTTAATGTTCCCGTTTGTCTTTCAGACATCGTTCAGATGCACATCGAGACGCTGGACGCGGTTCACAGGGAGAGCAAACGTCTGCCGCCCATCCAAAAGGTAACCAACTCATTGTTTTACGTTCCTCTGGGCAGGAAAGGCAGTGTAGAAACGCAGGCAGATTCCTCTTCGCCCCACTTCATCTCCTCCACCATTGAGTCCCAGAGTCACAACAGGTACGTTCAGCTCTCAGAGCGGCGCCTGACTCTGATGCATGATGGGATTTCTGGCCTGCTGTTTTGAGCGCACTTCAGTTTGATGTTCTGCTGTGCTTCCTTTTAACATGTAGGTGTGATTTCCTTTCTTTTTGTATCGGAGATCTTGGTTGCAAGGTGACCAAAGCAAACGCCCTCACAAAACCTTCATGGTTTTTTTGTGTGTGTGGAGGTTGTCAGAGACATTTCTGATGGATTGTGCAATCAGATTATTTTCTCCTGCATTTAAGATCTCAGTCTACTAATTAGGAGATCTTCAATGCTTTTGTTGTTCCAAACCCATATTTTTATATGCACCTTAATGATTATGGCAAATTAGCTTTATTTTCTCTTTCATATGTCTTTTCAGAATGTTTCACTTTATATGTTATTATTATTATTAATATTATTATTATTATTATTATTATTATTATTATTATGTTATTTCTCGTTCACTTATGTTATGGTACCATATATTAATTTTTATTTCTTTTTTATTTTTACAAATATGGCGTACTTAACTTGAATATTTGGAAAATTATTTCCACCTACTGACCTTAATGTCTTTCCTATTTTATTTTATTTGTTTTTTAAATTTTATTTTGTGTATATATATATATATATATATATATATATATATATATATATATATATATATATATATATATATATATATATATATATATATATTTTTTTTTTTTTTTTTTTTTAATTGGGATAGGATAGTGGAGGACAGACAGGAAAGCATTGGGAGCACAGAGAAGGGAAGGATGGGCATAGGACCTTGAGCCAGGAATCAAACTCTGGTCGTCCAGACCATTATGGTGCTGTATGTCGGCGCACTTAACCACTAGGCTATTGGTGCTGACTAAGTTTTTTTTATCTTATTTCTTATTTCTTATAATGATTTCAAAAAATACAATTTTAGACCTCAAAAAATTATGAAATATTGTGTTTGTTGTTGGTCCTAATTTTCCTTCATTTATGTAAAGTTACCCAATCGATCCAACACATCCAGTTAGCAATAACAAAATACGTTTAGCAAATCTTTATTTAAAACTAATATTATAACAGTCTGTTGTGCATACATTTGGTTTATTTTAAGTTATGTTGAAAAAAAATTGTATGCATAGAACTAGGGTCTGCTTGTTTTGACATATATAAAATGTGTGGCTAAGAAATAATAATTAGAATTTTTTATTATAGTTTTTTTGATCGTTCAAGTAAAAACAATTCTGCTGGACCATAAAAAAAAATCAGTAGTGTTTAGGCCAATACAAGTCTGAAATTTTATTCTTGATGGTCTTAAAATGGTCTTAAAAAGGTGAAACCTGCAGAAACCCTGTCACACTTTTATTCCCTTATTTCACCCAAATATCCAGTACACTACTTTAATTTGTATTATTACTGACATTTTTGTTTAAGTGGACCTTAATTATGTTTTAATATTTATTTTCATATATCTGCATATTTATTTATTTATTTATTTATTTATTTATTTATTATAATTTCATAACTTACATTAATGGAGGTTCATTCTGTTGTGGCAACCCCAGAGTGATAAAGGGACTAAGCCGAAAATAAATGAATGAACTAATATTACTAACATAATTTCATACCTTCATATCTCTCCAGATCTAATTATTTCCACTTTTTTAATTTTACTTTTTTTTTATTCTTGTTTTGTGCACCATGGAGGAAAGTAAGTTTCAGGGGTTTGAAACAGCATAAGCACAATAATAATAAACATAAAAATACAGGCAATAAACCAAATCGTTTTAATCTTTTCGTTCAGTGTCCTGCTTCAAGTACAATGACAGAACCAGACAGTGAAGTGTGATGAAGATCTTGCCATGTTTGTTTTGTTTTTAAACGTACTGAACAGTTTTTTCACTCCACTTAGTTTGAAAGAAAAGTCACGTTTGCTTAAAAAGCCAGTCGTGCATCTTTCATCACTCAGTGCCCAACAAACACGACGCCTGCAATAAATGCATTCTCAGGAAGCCCACCTGCTGACATCACTTCCTGGTTTGTGCCAAAACATTGCTCGGGGCCAGTGAAGATGAAATCGTTCTGGAAATCCTTCAATGTGATGAAACTTGCTCTTGCATAAGCGCCTGCAGAGTATTTGTCCCATAATGCATTTGTTTATTTGATGACAAAAATGCTAGATTCAGTGGAGTAAACACAGGCTACTTTTCCCAGATGAAAATGTTGCTTCTGGCATTTCTGGACCCATGAAATTGGATTTGAAGAACTGTGGGACAGAATGTTTTACATCTAAATTATAAATATACAAGCATCCCTTGCTTCAAGTCAACATGAAATCAGGATCGAGGCTGTTTGTTTTGAAGTGCATTTCAGTCTCTGTATTGGCCTAGATTCCTAGATTTCAGGATATTAGTTAATAGGGAAAAATGGCTGTCTTTTCTTATTTCAAATTAGTGTTGTTAAAGCTTTATTTTATTTATTTATTTTTGGTAATCTAGACTTTCTAAGTAAGTACAATTGATATTTGAGTATTTAAAATAAATAGATATATAGACCTGATATTTAAAATATAATAATGAAGAACAATAGTAATAAAAAAGCGAGTTTGAAGATGAATTATTTGTGTAAATAAAAATATTACTTGAAACAAAACAAATATTCATTATATAAAAAAGTAAACTAAAGACATTTAAAATGGATAAGAATAATAAAGAATTAAAAACAGTAATACTAATGCCAAATACATTTCAGTTTTTATGAATGTAATTTGCTATAATAAAAAAATGCTAATATATATATACAAGGCTGATATTTAAAAAATAGTAGTGAAGACAAATAGTAATTTAAAAGAAAAGGTGTTCTAAAAATGTTTAGTTACCTTCAAAAAGGGTTTATTTGTGTAAATAAAAATGGTATTTGATACTAAAATTTGTATTCATTTTATAAAAAGTAAACTGAAGTCATTTAAAATAGACAAAAATAATAAAGCTTAAAAACACTAATATTAATGTCTGATACATTTCAGTGTATATTAATATAATTTGCTATAAATAAAAATATAGCTATATAGGCCTGATTTATATTCAATATAAAGACAGTTTTAAAAATGGTAATTTACCTTAACTGGTGGATTATTTGTGTAAATAAAAATGTTATTTGATACAAATAAATTGTATTCATTATATAAAAAAAGAAACTGACGTCATTTAAAATAGATAAAAATAATAACGTTTTAAAACCATTAATGCCAATATCAGATACATGTCAGTTTATATTAAAATAATTTGCTATAATAGACAAAAATGCTAATAGATGTACAGTTGATGTCAGAATTATTAAACCCTCTGAATTATTAGCTTTACTAGGTTAGTTAGGTTAACTCGGCAGGTTAGGGTAATTACTTGGCAAGTCATTGTCGATGGTTTGATCTGTAGACTATCGAAACAAAATGTAGGGGCTAATAATTTTGACTTGATATGTTTTTTTTGTAAATTAAAAACTGCTTTTATTCTAGCCGAAATAAAACAAATAGGACTTTCTCCAGAAGAAAAAATATTATCAGACAAACTGTGAAAATTTCCTTGCTCTGTTAAACATCATTTGGGAAATATTTAAAAAAGAAAAAACACTAGTGATTTAAAAACACTAATACTAATGCCAACATATGTCAGTTTATATTGATATAATTTGCTATAATAAAAAAATAAAAAAATAATAGATTATGCATTTTTATTGTGATTGGTCACAATAGGGATGCAGTTTCATGTTTACCTGAGGTTTTCAGGACGTGAATATGCTAATCTTGCTCTTTAACACTCAGAAATGATGAACTGACTGAGAGGAAACACTTTTATGCTGATGATACACAGGGCAACTTTTTTCACAAGCGATATTGTTTGGCTATTATTTCACTAAGAATGGAAAATAATATTGTATCTGTAACCCTGTATCTCTGCCCTGATTAGTTACCCCATGTCTCGTCTGGATGTGAATTTATTGCATAATTTCCCAAAGTTACCCAGCAGCATTGCTCAAAAAGTTGCCTTGTGTATGATCAGCATGACTGTGTGCTGTTTGTGATTTTGAATGATGCGTTTCCTTCAGTTCATGATATCTAAGCATTCTGCATGCTGGATATGAAGTGTGGTGTTTCATATTTGAGCGACTTTAATATTATAAATGCACTGTTTTTGTCAATATTTTTATTATATTATTTTCTCTGGCGCTCTGCTTTCTTTTCATTGCCCTTTTTTTCCTCTGTGTGTGTCCAGCCTAAGCTTCTGAGGCCAACTCTGCTGCCTGGTGAGGAGTTTGTTATGGACGGGATGCGGGTGCACCTTATCACAGATGGTCGAGAGGAGGCCACGGGCAGTATGGGAGGACCACCGCTGCTCCCTGCTGAGGGGGCAATCTTTCTCACTTCTTATAGGCTCATCTTCAAGGGCACTCCCACAGATCCGCTTGGTATGCTCCAATTGGCCGAGAACTGTGCTCATTTGCATAATTTACTTGTTAAAACCTATTGTTTCCATAGTTCAAGCTTCTACTCATTTAAATTTATAAAATACTTTTTCAATAGTCATTTAGTTTGAGTTTAAATTTAGTCTTTAGCATTAAAGTTTTACTTACAGTATGTGGACTTACACAATTCACAGTATTAACAAACTATTAACTAACACTACTAGCTTAATAAACTACTAATTTACTGTTCATTAATAGTTAGTAAGGATAATGTTGGGTTTAGGTTTTGGGTAGAATTAAGAATGCGGAATAAGATTTATAACTAGTAATAAACAGTTAATGTCTTAATAATTGGCAGGTAATAAGCCAGTAGTTAATAGCATGAGTTGTATTGTTTATTTTCGAGATTTAGGATGCTCACTTAACTCTTGTATGTTTGTATTATTCAGTTGGAGAGCAGGTGGTCACTCGCTCCTTCCCTGTCGCCTCCCTCACGAAAGAGAAGCGGATTTCTGTTAGTCTTCCCATGGATCAGTTCATCCAAGAGGGTCTCCAGTTGCGATCCTGCACTTTTCAGGTACTGAACATCCCCTGTGCTTTCATTAATATATTTTCATTTACTTAATGGCAATCCTAAATGTCCATATAAACAATGACATGCATATATATTTTGTATTAAACAGAGTTTGGCATTAACAAATCCTACATAACCTCCATGAAGAAAATAAGTTGCTTCAATTAGATATTTTTTACTTTGATCTTTTTACTAAATTGACAATGAGTTTTATTTTAATTCAAACCATTCCAAATACCTAACAAACGCAAAATAGTTATTCAATTTACTTTATTTTTTATCACTAGTAACCATATGCTTGAATACAAACAATATTAAATATTAATTTAAAATGCATTAACAATAAATAAGTTGAATTAAGTAATATTTTATTGTATTTTTAGTTTTATTGTATTTTTATTTCATTTTTATTTTGTTTTATTTTATTGATGGCCAGTAATTTTTGTTTTGTATACAGTATATTATAAATAACATTTTTATCTCTATGTTGGATAATAATATTAATTAAGTCATATTTTATTTTAATTTAATTTTTTTTTATTAAAAAAAAATTTATTGAGGGCCAGCGATTTTTGTTTTGTATACAAAAAATTCTAACATTTTTATTTTGGTTTTGGATGTTGGAAAATAATATTAAGTCATTTAAATTTTTTTATTAATTTATTTTATTTTCTTCGATAGTCTGAGTTTTTATTTAGGATTTGGATGTTGGATAAGAATATTGGCCAATAATCTAAGTCATATTTTATTTTATTTTAGTTTAATTACATTTTTTTTATTTAATTTTATTGAGGGCCAGCCATTTTTGTTTTGTTTACCAAAAATTTTAACATTTTTATTTAGGATTTTAATGTGGGATAATAATATTAATTAAGTCATATTTAATTTAATTGTATTTTATTTTATTGAATTGTATTGAATAGAAAATATTTTAATTAAACATTTTTTATGTAATTTATTTTATTTAAATTTATTTTATTGAGGGCCAGGGATTTTTGTTTTGTATACAAAAAAAATATATAAAATTTTTATTTCGGATTTTGATGTTGGAAAATAATAATAATTTTATTTTATTTTATATATTTTTTAATTTATTTATATACTGATTTTATTTTATCCGATAATCTCAGTTTTTATTTAGGATTTCGATTCCCAAAAAATGACATTAGACATCAGAATTGAAGGTTAAAATGCTTGCAAATATTTTTAGATATATTTGTGATTTTATGTGGCATCAGTTTCCATTGGTTTCATTATTTGTGGTCTGTTGTAGCTGATGAAGATCGCCTTTGACGAGGAGGTGGCGTCAGATCTGGCTGAGGTGTTCAGGAAACACATGCACAAGCTCAGATACCCACAGCACGTCCAGGGCACGTTTGCCTTCACTGTGGGTCAGTCTGCCAAACTGGTGGTTGAGCACAAAACCAAGGACAAGAACCAGTCACTCAAGTAAGAACTGAAGAAATATTAAACCGTCCATTTTAATCTCTCAGGAGACCATCTCTTTTTCATCCACGATCCAGCCTTTTCCTGTAAAAACTCTTAGGAGAGAAAGAAACGATGCTGAACCAGCCTTGAATTATTTAGTAGTGGAAATCACAAAAGCTCTGCATTAGCGGCAAATGGATGCCATACCAAACTCAGAGACAGCTTTTATAATGGAGGGCCAATTATACTCTAAAGCACTTTTAGTAATTTTGAAAAGTGTAACATGAGATCAGCTCAGATGTGTACTTAAATGACACATTTTCCCTCTAGACTGGAATGTGCTTGGTTTTTGCACACAAACATGATTGACTATGGTGTAGGTGAAAAGGAGTATTATAAAAGACATTATTATTTAATGTTAATATTGAGGTATTTGCCCTAAAATATGAATGTAATTGTAAAATTGTGTTTGTGTTCGAATATCTCAGAGTATTATGTTTTGGTTTGGTTGGGTTTGGGTTGGTTTAGTTTGTTTTTTGGTATGTTTTGTTGTGTGTTTTGGTATGTTTTGTTGTGTGTTTTGGTATGTTTTGTTGTGTTGTGTCTTGGTATGTTCTGTTTTGATGTGTTGCATTGTTTTGGTTTCTGTTTTGTTGTGTGTTTTGTTGTGTTGTTTTGTAATTTTATTTTATTTTTTGCACTTTGTTGTGTTATGTTGTGTTGTGTGTGTATGTTTTATTTAGTGTTTTTGCAGTTTGTTTTTGCATAATTTATTCAGGTGAAATTATACTCCTTATATGATAGTACAGGTATATTTATGGTAAATCAAAACACTATATTTACTTTGACCTTCTTATTTTAGAACGCTGTCCAGAAACCTGGTCAAGACCGCAAAGAGGACCATTGGGCGTCAGTATGTGACCCGAAAGAAATATTCTCCACCGACCTGGGAGAACCGCAGCAGTATGCAGTCAGAAATGGACGAGGATGAGATCTCTGGTGAGAATTTTTTTTAATTGGCAATCACTAACACATGATTATTAAATTCAGTTTTTATTACATTTTCTTTATTTGTCACATATAGAGTAATACACAGTATGATATGCAGTGAAGTGCATACACAAACACTTAAAACAATAACCCAAAAAAATAGAAATAAGAATCTAAATATGCAGAAATAGAAGTTATTGAAAGACTTTTGATATAGAGTATGTGGTTGTAGAAAAGGAAAAAGTATAAAAATATAAAAGAAACATATAAGGTTTTCTAACAAAGTGTATTTAAGCATAATTATGATATTACAATTTTTCACAATTTTCATGCAATAGTTTCTGAAGAGCCCGAGCCCAGTTCATTGACGCTCTCGTCCACCATCCGCTCATCTGACCGTCAAACCATGAGTAATGTGGTGGAGCGGGCCTGCTGTCGGGACTACCAACGGTTGGGACTGGGCACGCTCAGTAACAGCCTGACCCGCTCCAAAAACGAGCCCTTCCGCATCTCCACCGTCAACCGGATGTACACTGTATGCCGAAGGTGAGCCCCATTAAAGCGACAGTTCACCCAGAAATAAAGATTTACTCCATCTCGCATGGTTGCAGCCTTATGACTACTATGACTATTTTCTGTCAAGCACAAAAGATGTTTTGAAAAATGCTGGAAACCACTAACCATTGACTTTCATAGGAAGAGAAAATGCTTATGCAAGTCAGTGGTTACCGATTTCCAACATTCTTGCAAACCTTTATGTGTTTTATTTTTTTGTTGAGCACAAAAGAAGATATTTTGAAGAATGTTTGAAACTGGTAACTATTGACTTATATTGTAAGAATAAAATGCTTTGGAAGCCAATAGCTGTCAACTTTATTCAAAATAAAAGTCACTAAAAATGCTGTGGAAAAAAAAGCATTGAAATGTTATTTACAGCTGTGTTTTTGTGTTTGGTTCAGTTATCCAGGGTTACTGATTGTCCCTCAGAGCATCCCTGATTCCACCATCCAGCGTATTTGCCGCTGTTACCGGCAGAACCGTTTCCCTGTTGTTTGCTGGAGAAACTCGCGCACTAAAGCTGTGCTGCTGCGATCAGCCGGTCTGCATGCTAAAGGAGTCGTGGGCTTCTTCAAATCACCCAATGCACCCACTGCAGGTCAAAGTCTGATGCACGCTTAAATAAAAGCTAGCTCTATCATTTTTGTTTCATTTTATTTATGATTCATCATGAAATAATTTATCATGATTTATTTCTTCCAAAAAAAAAAAGAGAATGTATTTACATAATATATGTGTGTGAACTGTGCATAAATACGACCCCACATTTCCATGTGTATATTTGAGAAAATGTTTATTTGTTCATAATGAATAACGCACTGAAATACAATCAATATTTTACAATGATTAAGTAAATACATACTTATTTTGGATGTGATTAAATACTTGACATTATAATATTATTATATTGCATGACATTTTATTATGTCAATACAACATTTAAAATATGCATACAAAAAAATATAGATTTTTTTGAATATGCAATCTATTTACATATTTATTATTAAACTAATTGCGGTGGTATTGTGTTTCAGGCCCGTCTCAGGCTGACTCCACCAGCCTGGAGCAGGAGAAGTATCTGCAGGCCATCATCAGCTCCATGCCCTCATACAGCGAGACCAGCGGGAGAAACACACTCAGCGGCTTCACCTCTTCACACATGAGCACCTCAGGTCAGACCCTGAGACTAAACTGACCCACTCAGACCATGAAATGCACTTAAAGGCTTAAAACTGCTGGCAAAGTTTTAAGATTTAAGACTTTTTAGCTGAATATAACGTGTTTTGTTCACCAGTCTAAAGCTAAGTATGCATCCAAAATACAAGGGTTATGGCTTTCTATTATTGCACTTAATCAGTTTGTGACTGTAGATTTCAGGTATAGTGGATATTTTTAAAGATTGAGTTATAAATCTCCACTTTAGCAGCACTTGGATAAAAATGTTTACAGTTTCATTAAAATATGACTGTATTAAGGTTTATAAAAATGTATTGTTCATACATAATTTAATCTTTTTGTTCTGCAATTCTTTTTCTGTCTTTCACAGTATTTTTTTTAAAATGGAGATTCCCCAAATCTAAAAACCTTTGACTCGAATATATCGGAAATAAAAGCTAGAATTTTTGAAACCTGATTTTAGTTGATGTTTAGATTTTTGTGCCAGAGACCGATGTGTATTAGCACATATTTAAAGTAACAACGCCTCGTTTCCATATTCAAACACTATTTTTGCTAGCTATTAGTCACCTGCTGTATCTTATCCTAATTCACAAATAATATTCACACTCTTATACATGTTATCTTTGGGCCTCAGACTCATCAGATAAGCTGAGGCAACCTAAAATAGGAGCTCTGATGAAGCAAGTGATGGGAGCTAAAGAGGACGTACCAGGAACCTTCAGTCGAGGAGGTGAGCGCATGTTCAATGTTCATTTCAAGATCTTCCAGACTAAACCTGCCATTCATTCCTCTGTTCCCAGTCCTTTATTCAATCCCATATAACAGAGGAAGTCATTGTGTGCATTATTTGCCAAATAACCCGTTTAATCCCAGTAACAATTGTGACCTTATGTTTTTGGCTTATTTTTGGAAGCTCTAAAAGTCTTGTCGTTGATGGCTTCGGATAAGAAATTAAACTTTTGAATAAAATAATTGATGCTTTCAATTAAATTGAGAGACTGTCACATGAATACATCAGTTTACATACCTCCTGCTTGCACATATAGAAGATATAAATAAATAAAGTGGTCACAATAGTATAACACATCGTATTAGCTTGTTATCTAATGAGGCGGGATTGAATGGGTTAATTGGGCCCAGTTTTGTTTTGTGCTGATAGTAATGGGCATTTTTGTCATGTGACCTTAGCGCTGGGTCAGAGGGCGAGGGTGGTCTCCCTCTCTCAGCCTAGAGTTTCAGTCAAGGCCCGCAACTCGCCCAGAGGTACAGTAGGCCCCGCCCCCTGCTCTCAAATCTAACCAATCAAATCTCTCGACAGAGACGCGCAGCCACTTTGAGCACTAAGTGTCCATGTATAGCAGTGTTGTCATCATCCTCCTCTTTCCCTGTTGCTAACTAATCGTTGACCACCATGTCTGTTTGATTTATCTGTGCTGTTTGTGCGGGCGTGATGAGCATCTCTTTGCATGTGATCCACCAGATTTTTGTCTGTCTTTACGCGTCTGTAGAAATCACTCTGAAATGATTCCACTGAGTCTGGTGTTTGTCCCTGAATGGTCTCCGCTGGTCGTCTGTGTGTGTTTTTTTTAGGGAAATGGGGCAGTATTCGTGGAAGTGGTCGGCTCAGTACGTATAACCCTGATGTGGGGAACAGGCTAGCTGGGAAAGAGTCACCGCAGGCTAATGGAGGCCCAAGCGAGACCTACTTCCTTCGGCAACAGAGAGCGTACTTGTTCATCATTGGAGACAAGTCCCAGCTTAAGGTTACTAGATTAAATAATCAAACTTTGAGGGTTTCCCGAGTTCCCACACTTAACAGTCCCGGAAAGTACTTAAAATGTTTCAAATGCATTTGAGGAATACTTTGTCAGTACTGCATTGAAATATTACCAGTTTTGAATTCAACTAATTGTGTTGAAGTTCTTTGAACGTGACTTTAAAATGGTCAGCATTTTTAAAAATGACACGTTAAAACATCATCAGAATGACATTTTACAGGGCATCCACAGGGTTTTAAAATGTCTTAATTCTCGAAAGCTAAATTTTTAAGCCTTGAAAGTCTTAATTCTACTGAAATACTGTGTTGTAGGTCTTAAATCTTTTTTTAACAGGTCTTAATTTCCTTTGTTCATGTATTCTAACCTTTAACATCCATACAATCACCAACAATCCATCTCAATAAATTATTTTATTTAAAAACAGCATTTAATTAAGATCTCCGTGTATTTACTGAAGATACTGACCTATATTTTTATTATTTAATTATTATTATTGTATATTAAATGTATTAAATTAAAATAATTTTTAATAGGCAAGTGAAAATCTTTTTCAGCTGAGATATTCAAAGAAAATTCTTAGCATTTAGCTCTGTATAAGTCTAATATTTCATTCATAATGGTCTTAAAATGTCTTGAAGTCTTAAATTCAACTTTGTGAAACTGCCAGAAACCCTGATTTTAATGTAAATATTAATCGTCAGTGAAACATTAAGTACTGGACAGATTTTGATGGCGTTATATATGCTGGAGTGTGAATTAAAAAGGTGCTCGATTTAAAAATATTAGTGATCTAAAAAGTTCTTGTATTTGGTGCAAGTAGGTTTTAAAAATGAATTAAGTATAAAATATTCAGCACACCTAACACAAGTGCAATCATAATTACTATTTTATTATTATTATTCTTATTTTTATTGTTTGTAGCAACTTGATTCTTCTTATTGTAAACTCTTACATTATGGGATTTATTAACATTAAAATAATACAATTATTGTTAATGATAATTTATTTAACTATATATTAAAATAATATTAATAGTATAGAATAAGAAGAATAGTAGTAGTAATAGCAGTAGCAATAATCATAAGTAGCATTTATAAATTAGATTAATATTAAATATTAAATTCATAGATAAACATCAGCACACCTCTGAACACAAGTGCAATCATAGTTATTTTATTATAATTATTTGTAGTGGCTTTTTTTTTTTTTTTTACCTTTCGGTACAGAAACTAATACATTTATTTTTTTGTAATTGAGGTTTAGTAACATTAAAATAATACAAACAGTAGTGATGATAATTTATTAAAATCATTCATTCATTTTCTTGTCGGCTTAGTCCCTTTATTAATCCGGGGTCGCCACAGCGGAATGAACCGCCAACGTATCCAGCAAGTTTTTTTTTTACGCAGCGGATGCCCTTCATCTAAAAAATAATTGCATATAAAAACTAATTATTAATAATCAGCACACCTAATAGGAGCACAATAATCCTAATTTTATTGCTGCATGTTATGTAAAATTGCGTATTATTCCATTTTTTTAAAACTAATTTACTTTGTTGTTGTTTATTGTCATTGTCATTTAATTATTTGTACGTTGTGCGTTTGTTTCATAATAATGTTGCTATATATGCCTTTACATTGCCCCAATTGAATTAAATTGAATTGAAATTTACAGATAAAAACCTAGAAAGTAATATTAATAATATTTCATACACGCTAGATTTAAGGAAAGTTGATTACAGGATTCAATTTACTGTTGGTGAATAAACTAATACCTCAGTCTTCTGATCAGGGTGGAAAGCAGGACTCCTTCCAGCAGTGGGAGGTGGTGCCCATCGAGGTCTTCGACGTACGGCAGGTGAAGAACAGTTTCAAGAAGCTGATGAAAGCCTGTGTGCCTTCCTCCCTAAGCTTTGACGCAAACATGACCTTTCACCGCTGCCTGGAGGAGTCCGAGTGGATGAATCTGGTACCAATCCCTAGCTTTTATCCATTCTAAAATTGTTCAACTCAATGTGCTAGTCAGTAATAAGATAGTGGAATCATTTTTGACATTGACTATGTTTCTGTGTGTCCCATCACAGCTTCACAGGGTTTTACAGGTGTCTGTTCTTGTTGTGGAGCTTCTTGACAATGGTTCCTCGGTCATGGTTAGTTTGGAGGACGGCTGGGATGTAACAACACAGGTATGACACGCTCATTTAAATATGCATGAGCTGCCTCTACAGTTGAATTCTGGCCATATATGCATTAATATTGTGCTGGGTGTAGGTGGTGTCCCTTGTGCAGCTGCTGTCAGATCCGTACTACCGAACCATTGATGGCTTCCGGCTGCTCGTAGAGAAAGAGTGGCTGTCGTTCGGCCATCGATTCAGCCATCGTGGTGCTCAAACGCTCGCCAGTCAGAGCAGCGGATTCACACCAGTCTTCCTCCAGTTTCTGGACTGTGTGCACCAGGCAAGCTATTTCTGGAGGTTTCTTACCTTGCGCACTGTAAAGCTTTCTTTTACATAGATAAACAGCAGGGTGTTGATATAAAGCAAGCTCCACGTTCTTGGAAGAGGTAGTCTGAAGGCAGCATGCGAAACCTTATATGATTGGATATGTGCATGTATAAATATGCATTGTTTTAATATATGCAAATATACAACATATACCTGTGCCAGTTTCCGGCTTTATTACTCTAAATCGACCACTCCTTCGAAGATAAAATCCTGAACGCTAACTCATCCAGATTGTGCAAGACTCTTGCTAATTTACCCTGAAGATAAAGACAGGCTTTCCCCCCCACACGTATAAAGAATGAGATTGCTTAATGGTGAGATTTCACCACCTTGCGTCTGAATTCGACAAGATAGCAAAGACTATCTTATCATTTACACATTAAACGTGATTAAGCTTTCAGAAATCCTGATCTAGTTTGATATACCATGTTCTTGGCACTGGATAAAGAAATCTTTCCCGCTCGTTTCTCCTGTAAAAATCACAAGGACATTATATTACATTGGTGTGCTGCAAGGTTCAGACTTAGGTCCGGGTGCTTTAAACTCTATGTATTGATGTCTTGGTATTTTATTCTGACAAAACATATAGTTTTATATTATATAATCTCTATGACATCATTGCTAAGACTTTACTGTTTGTAGATGCTTTCATAATTACTTTTCTGATCAATCGTTAAATGGATACTGACTATTTTCGACATGCTGCTTACTGTATACACTACATAAGGTGTCCACACAGGGTTCAGTCTTGGGCTTGGTGCTTTTTTAATATACACTATAGACATGCTTCTATAGTCATGTTGTTGTTTTTTACAGATGTGAAGGTTTTTTTATTCAACAGAATAAGTTAACTACTTTTGTTTTTATTGATTTTCAAGTAAAGCATGAAGGAAGAGATTTACCCACTATATTCTCCGTTCCTCTAAAATGTGTATGACTTCATTGTTTGTCAGGGTGTCTGCTTGGTCTTAAAATGTCTTAAATTTTAATTTTTTTTTACCCTTTTTAGATCTTAAAAAGTCTTAAATACACTAAAAGTTTTGTGTTGAAGGTCTTAAATCATTTTAAATGGGTCTTAATCTTGCTTTATCCAAGTAAAGCTACTCTATTGGACGGACGTCCATCCAATGACCAACAATACATCTCAATTAAACCTTAATTATTATAATTTGACTTTTTTATTTTTTAATAATTATTTCAAGGAGATACAATTGACAAAAGCAAAACCCCCAAAGGAAATTCACTAATCAGGAAAAGAAAACAATTACACAATTGATGATATTGGGTCATTTGCAAAAGTCTTTAATCCTGTATAAGTCTAAAAATTTATTCTTAATGGTCTTACAAGGGTCCTGAAAAGTCTTAAATTTGACTGGAGGAAACCTGCAGAAACCCCAGTTTGTAGATGCTTTCATAATTACTTTTCATATCAATCAAAATTCACTATTTAACGCAGTCTCTCTCTGTTTATCATTTGGCAAATTGCAGTGTAAATATTCTCCCCTTCTCTCGTTCTTCCTACAGATTCATCTGCAGTTCCCCATGGAGTTTGAGTTCAGTCAGTATTACCTCAAGTTTCTAGCCTACCACTACGTCTCCAACCGTTTCCGCACCTTCCTGTTGGACTCCGATTATGAGCGCATCGAGCTCGGTTAGTCTCAACCGACCAATTATCAACTAATTGTCTATCTTACAGACTTTTTTCGCACTTAGTAGGACTGTGATAGTTTATCATCTCACCTAATTTCACCCCCATTTTGTAATCCAGCCAAAAGTCAAACAAGTCCAGTCTATTTTACCGTTTTTAATCATTAAATACTGTTCGTCCTTATCCTAATGTTTTGTCTCTGTAGGAGTCTTATATGAGGAAAAAGGTGAGAGGAAGAGCACTCAGGTGTGCAAGTCTGTCTGGGATTACATTGACCGGCTCAACAAAAAGACCCCCATATTCTACAACTACATGTTTTCACCTGAGGAAGAAGAGGTAACTTTATCATTTGCAATTGTCACTATTTTGCATGTTCTCCCCGTGTTGGCATGGGTTTCCTCCGGGTGCTCCAAGTCCAAAGACATGTGCTTTAGGTGAATCGGGTAAACTACATTGACTTTAGTGTATAAGTGTGTGTGTGGATGGGTGTTACCCAGTACTGGGTTATGGTTGGAAGGGTATCTGCTGTGTAAAACATATGCTGGAATAGTTGGCGGTTCATTTCACTGAGGCGACCCCTGATAAATTTGGGACTAAGCTGAAGGAAGATTAATGAATACTCTAGTGCTCTCTGCTGGTGACTGATTGTACTGTCCTCTTCTTTTAAAGGTCTTAAAGCCCTACAGTTTCGTCTCCAACTTAAAGGTTTGGGACTTTTACACAGAGGAAACGCTTTCTGAGGGTCCGTCCTTTGACTGGGAGTTAGTGCAGGGTCGGCAGGAGAAGCCACAGGAGGAAGCTGGGGACAAACAAGAGACGACGGCCCCCAAATCCAAAAGGAGGATCGTATGGCCCTGCTATGACAACCTCAGTAAAGTAGTGCCTGATGCCATCACCAAACTACTGCAGGTGAGGAACAAACTCCTAACCTGATTTCACCAATTAAGACATGTTCCTGGATATATGTTGACCCTGCAACAACATTCCAATCAGCCAAGCAGAATTATGGGATATATATATATATATATATATATATATATATATATATATATATTCATTTACAGTTATAGTTGGGTTTAGAGGTAGGGAATAGGTATATATTACATTTTCAATGTTAATCCAGAATTGCATTGTACTTGGCAAAATCATGACGTGCAGAACAAACCTACTGCTCAGTATATTTACAAAATAGGTAAATGATAATATTAGTATATAAATGTAAAATCTTAATGTTTATTATGATATGTAATAATTTTGTTTTGTTCAATTTAAGCAGGGGTGTTATTGTTTATTGAAATAGTTGTTTTAATAAAACCGAAACAAATATGAACATCACATTATTTAGGCACCACTTTTAACTTTTTACGTATTAAAATCAGTCAAACTGAAATAGAAATAAAGATAAATTAAAAATAGTTTCAGAAACGTAGAAGAAATCAAATAAAATGGTTATTAGTATTGTAATATTTAATTATTTTGTATTCTAACCAATGTCAGGCGCGTAGCTAGGGGGGATTCGAGTGAGCTCATTTGTCCTATTTTGACTGCTATTCCATTATAAATTGTGAAATAATCCATCGTAAAAGGCTTTAAGAACAAGCGGAATCTTGTGTTGGCTGTCGGTACAGAGTTTGGGATGCCGAATTCTAACTGAGGAAAGTTGAATGTGCTGGCTAGTTTGTTATTTGCCTAATAAATTTAAAACTTTTAACAGATTCTTATTTTTGTATTTTAAAAATAAATATTGTTTTGATATTTATTTATTCTTAATCTTTAGGAAATGCCTTTGGTACATCAAAAAGTGTGGTTAGGATGACCATCCAACAAGCTTTTGTGCTATTTTAAACACAAAAATGTTGCTTAATCTCACTAACATGCAGTATTTACAGCTTCTAGTTAAATAGAAAATGAGGCGAATGACTGCAAAAAGGCCCACATTTAGAGAAAAAAAAAAAAAAGAAGCACCCCTTTCACCAGGCTGGCTACCCACCTGAATGTTGTTAGTGTAATCCTCAGTAAAAAAACAAGTGAAATAAAAACATTTAACAAACTAAAACGCACTTAACAAACTAGTTTTAATTATATCATAATAATTTAGTAATATTGTATTTATTTCATATAATTTGATGTTAATTAAAATGTTAAATGTATTTAAACCTTTATGTGAAACTTAAAATATGTTACAACTCAAAATAATTGAACTCATTAAGAAAATAATCAGAAAAATAATAACAAATGTAATTTAACAAGATTGTTGTCTATTGAAGTAGTTGTTTAAATAAAACCGAAATAAAATATGAACATCACGACATTATAATAAAGGTAAATTAAAAGTAGTTTTAGAAATATAGATGAGGTATCAAATAATATGGTTATTAATAATATTTGTTATTTTTGTTTTTTTAAGTGATGCCTTAAATCCTAAGTACAAAAGTTTCAAGTATTAAAATAAAAAATAAGTGTAATAAAAACTAATAAAAATAATAAAAGAAAAATAATAATAAAATAATTATTAAATAAAAATAATAAAATAATTGTGATAAAAATAAAAAGCACTTAACAAATTAGTTTAATTATATAATAAAAATTTCACATATTATATTTATTTTATATAATTTAATGTTAATTAAAATTGTAAAAATGTATTTGAACTTTTATGTGAAACTTAAAATATATGACAAGTAGAACTCAAAGTAATTGAACTCTTTAAGAAAAAAAATTACATGTATGTAACCTATTAAAAATATTACATGTAACTATTAAAATGACCAAACAATTTAAGTTAAAACTAAGTAAAGCATTTTTAAAATACCTGAAATTAATGAAAACACTTATACTTATTAAAGATATCAATAAATCCTGTAATAGTATGTAAATATTACCAAAAAGCACCTATAGCCTTGACCAGACTTTTGTTTCATCACGTGAGGAACAAAAATTTAATATATGTTTAAAAAAATCCTCCTAATGTTCAACTTACTGTGTTTATGAACAGGATGTGCAGAACCTGGAAACTGAGCTGGGACAGCCTACAGAGAAGTGGAAGGACACATGGGACAAGATTAAAACGACCCAGCGGGTGGAGTCCAGACTAGAGAGCAGGGTATGAAAACTAACACTACGTCTAACCTGCATCTACTAATGTGCGACGTACTGATGCTCAGTTTGTGTGTGTGCAGCATTCGTTCTCCAGCTCTCTGCTGATGTCCTCTAATCTGAGCCACCAGCGGCGCTCTCAGGGAGTCTATCTGCAGGAGAGCGGCGTTGGCTCCTCCATCAATCTGGCTCTAGACTGTGAAGTCAGCGCTACATCTACACCCGCTGCGGGACGGCCCAGTACCAGCACTCTCTACAGCCAGTTCCAGAGCACTGAGAGCGAGAACAGGTCTGTCTACACTTCCTACACAAGGCTGCTGGGGGGATTTTCTGAATGGATAGTGGAATTTCAGGGCAGATATATATAGAGGAAAGTCTGCAGTATACCTGCTTTTTTCATTACATTTAATACAATAAGAACAATATATAAACTCAAAATAACTTAATACACTTTGAAATAAAGACATAAAAATTGATTATAATATTAAATAATACAGGAATAACATATTTTAATGTCCATCAGTTCAACAAAAGAGTCAAAGTATACCGACTTAGTTCAAATAAAAAACAATGCTTTAGGAAAATAACTGACATAAGTTTTGAGTAGTAAAATTAAAGTAGTTAGCAGTGTCACCTCACAGCAAGGTCGCTGGTTCAAGTGCCAGCTGAGTCAGTTGGCATTTCTTTGTGGAGTTTGCATGTTCTACCCATGTTGGCGTGGGTTTCCTCCGGGTGCTCCGATGGTTTCCCCCACCGTGCAAAGATGTGCGCTGTAGGTGAATTGAATAAGCAAAATTGTCTCTAGTGTGTGTGTGAATGTGGATGAGTGTGTATGTGTGTTTCCCAGTACTGGGTTGCAGCTGGAAGGGCATTCGTTGTGTAAAACATATGCTGGATAAGTTGGCGGTTCATTTCACTGTGTTGACCCCTAATAAATAAAGGGGCTAAGTCGAAGGAAAATTAATGTATATCTGATTTATATTAATATTTTTATTTTTTACCCGTGTTGATATTGTTAATTAAAATTATTACAAAACTTTTAAATGAAGCCTAAAAATATATATAAATGTTTAACTTACATTTATTAAACTGATAAAATAAAAATAAAAAAATTTGCTGAATAAAAAGTGTATTTTGTTGTATTAAAATAATAAAAACTGATGTAATTATAAATGTATATATGCAGTATTGTGAGGTATAGACATTCAATGATAGAATCTGAAATAAGACTGTATGCTCTTCATTGTATAAAGCAGTGGTTCTCAAAGTGGGGGTCGGGACCCACCGAGGGGTCGCGGGACAATGAAAGGGGGTCGCCTGGTGATTTCCAAAAATTTTTATTAAACCATAAGATATACCATATGTTATCCATAACCTACTGAAGAGAAAAAAATAGTCGTTTATATTTACTATATACTAGTTACTATAGTAGCTTATAGTTACTAGTTCTATTGGATTGCGACTCCTGGGGTAATTAAATTATATTAAAGACACAGCAATAGCGTCAGATGCAGCAGGTTGATTTTATAATATTAGCTTAAACTTTCTGGCCCATTTACAGCACTCGCATACATTTAAAAAAATAAATGAAGAATAGACTTGGGTCAATTGGTGTGTGTGCGCCATTGCATGCAAGGTTTTGTATTTATAACCACCTCAGAGGATATTGGGGGTCGCTGGCATTGTTATTTTGGGGGTCATAAGCTAAAAAGTTTTGGAACCTCTGGTATAAAGTATAAAGAAATATGTTTTTGTTAAAGTGATAAACTTGATCATTTCTTGTGGTCAAATGGTTGAAATTCTCTTGAATTTTTACAGTTGCAGGCCTTAAAAACACATCCAAACAAAAATCTTTCAAGTTTAGTTTAAAGTTAAACACTGCAGTGACTCCACAAATCATGTCGTCTTAACTGTAGTTCCTGGTTCATCACAATCACAAACTAATATTGCAGATCTTGCGATGTGAACATGGCAAATTTGCATATTGCGTGTGTAAATAAATGATTCACTCATGTAAAATAAATATTATTTGTATTTTTTACTTGATTAATTTGTGATTTTATTAAATATTTTTATCAATGTATAAACTCTTTACAGTAGTTTTATGTGCTGTGTTTTGTTTCTCTTTGCTTCTCAATCTCTTTAGTAAAACCTTTATCTTTTCTTTATTTAGGAGCTTTGAGGGTATTTTATATAAAAAAGGCGCTTTGCTAAAACCTTGGAAACCCCGTTGGTTTGTACTGGATAAGACCAAACACCAGGTACGTCACTGCAACAACAACAAAGCATCTACCCTCTTTTAGTTCGAGTATATAAATCTTGATTGCTATATATTTGTGCAGCATGTTTTTTTTTAATATATTAAGAGTACATAGTTTTGAGATTTGATACTGACGCTCCAGTGTTCTCCTCTCTGTAGTTGAGATACTACGAAACAAGGCAAGATAAAGAGTGCAAAGGAATGATTGAACTGGCTGACGTGGAGTCTGTCATTCCGGGGACGCCTGCCATGGGAGCCCCTAAAAACATAGACGACAAAGCCTTTTTTGATGTAAGACCTCTGTAATATCATCGGCTCACACTGCTTCATTCACCGTCATCATGTTTGTTTTGTTTAAATGATGGGCTCTACTTCCTGTTTGGGAAATTTCCCTTTAGAATAACTGAAACAAATTACAGTCACGTGATTTTAGTATCACTAAATAACTTCCTCCATATTATTTTCTCTGTTTTCCCTACAGCAAAGAATTATTCCGCATGTTCATAAAACTGCTGCAAAATAAGTCTAATACATTTCCTGAGGCATGAACTGTGGGTAATAATGAGACCATTTTTTAAAAACACTTCTCCCAAGTTCATCCAAAAATGCTCATTGACTCACTATTTACTCTCCCTCATGTGCTTTCATAACTTGAAATGTGTTAAACGCACACAAATAAGATATTTTGAAGTATGTTGAAAGCCTGTAACTATTGACTTCCATTGTATTTAGTTTTCCCACTATGGAAGTCGATGGTTACAGGTTTTCAACATTATTCAAAATGTCTTCTTTTGTGTTTGATAGCAGAAAGAAACTCAAATAGGTTTGTGACTATTGCAGTTTGAGTAAATGATATCAGAATTTTTATTTTTGGGTAAACTATGCCTTTAACAGAAGTTGCTTGCATAATTCACACAAAGTATCAAGTAAATAATAATAATAAAAGTAATCATTTTTGTGTATAGCACCTTTTAAACTTAATTCTCAACGCTCTTTACACCTTAAAAAATACAAGGAAAGCAGAAAAAACAGATATAAAAATTATGTGTATAAAAATATAGAATTATATATACAATTATAAATACATTAATATTGAAATATACATTGGTCACTTGTTTATCACAGGTGTTACGTTCTAAAAATAACCCGCGACAGGTGAAGTCTGTGAAGTAGTCAGCTTTATTTTTTACAATTATTACAGATGCTTTAAAGGCTGATTTATACTTCTGCGTCAAGCATATTCTACGGCGCAGCCTACGCGTTGACGCATAACCCTACGCTCTGGTCGTCGTCGTAGCTGACGTGCACCTCTCAAAAAATTTAACTACATGTCGCAACGACGTGTAGCGCAAGCTCAGTGATTGGTCGGCTTGGTAGCGCTGATGAGTCTGGGTGGGACAGAGAGCCGCGCAAGGCCGATGGAGCGATTGTTTACAAGTGTGGAGTGCCGTGAAGAAGCTCTGGATGGAATGTTTTATCTTTTGTTTACCTCATGGTTAAAGTTGTTGCATGTCCGCCGGTTACTGCTTCAAAATGAGCCCTTTGAGCCACTTGTACATTAAGGGAGTGTTCAGAAAAAACAAAACACCAGCGAAGAAACTCGACACAGAGGAACATTAACACCACTGCCAACTAGCGTTTCGGAAGTGTTAATGCAGACCAACAGAAACAGCACGCAGAAGTATAAATGCACAGCTACGCGAGTTGCATGCGCCGTGGGTCACGCCAATAACTTGGCGCAGAAGTATAAACCAGGCTTAAGGCTGTAAAACCCCTCACTACACACTTTATACACTTTTCTCAGACAGCATTAACATTTTCACACTTTTCTCCGGTTTAAACACTCTTAAAGTTCAAACTTTCATACACAAAGTAAGTTCAGTATTACAAAATTAAACCTAAGATCAAAACCTGTTGTCAGGTGCAAGAGTCGTAGCTGGGAACTGCATACAGCCACCAACTTGTGGTGCCGGTGCTTACCCATATATAAACCTATGTTTGAATGCTGCTTCACGGCGCATCCGGTGTGCAACCCCCTTTACGATGGTCTTGCTGCGGACAGTTACCAGCCTTTTTGCATTCTTGTTGAAACTCACACTGCTAGCGATCAAAAATGTATGTTAATTCGGCAAGCTGAACGCATTCTGTACTGTCCAGGAGACACGGAGGAGATTTATTGACAAACAGCCAATCAGGACGCAGAACACAAGTGTAAAAAAAGGGAGTAAAAAATTATTTCCTAGTAAAAAAAATATTCCTTTTTCTTCTCTTCCAGCTCAAGACGACCAAAAGAGTGTACAACTTCTGTGCCCAGGACAGCTCAAATGCGCAGTCATGGATGGACAGTATTCAGGGTTGCCTATCTGATGCGTAGGTGTCGGATCCTAGCAGACAACATAACTGTGACGCATAGTAAAGAGGAGGGGCGGAGCCAGTGACGGACAGAGGCCTCATAGCCAATGGGGAGCCACTCCCCGGGCGTTTACAGAGGAAACAGGGCTTCCCTATTGGTGTTATTGAACTTTGCGATGTCGCATCTCATTTCAAAGACTGATATCCGTGCTCGGCTTCAAAACACTTCCTTCACTTGTTTGAAAAAAAGGCATGACCTGCGAGTCTTCTTCAGTTATCGCTCGCATCCCATAATTATCGCTCCAATACTGCCACCTTTCAGCTATGCAGGGGCTCAAAAATGCCCACTAACTAGCCACACAGCTACTAACTACTCACTATTCCATGGTTCGGAGGCAAGTCTAGACTATTGCATCGATTTCCTGCCTTCTCATTGGCCGGTTAAGTTCTCACACTCCCTACCGATTGGTCGGTTTCATCACGCAACGGTTCATGAAGGATTTTGTGTCTCTTTTTGTGTCATTCGTTATGAGATAATATGAAAGCTAAAGATCCATTCCTTGCCGTTTTTATTTGACGACTAAAAGCCATCTGGAGATTTCCAATTTTGCCAGTTTACGAAGAAATTACAAACCACTAAATTTTTAAGGGATGTTGAAGGAAAATGGAGGGATGTATTGTGTCGTATTTATGCACAGATGATAATTCAATTATTTTTCGTTATTATACGAAAGGCGCAGACTAAAAGTGAGTGGACGGTGTGCGTGGAGGGGTTTTTATAACCTTTTTTGTTTCATCAAGTGTCTGTTTACACCAATCGGAGGCCAGAGGCTGGAACTTCATGGAAATAATGACAAAATATATGCAAACCTGTAAATATGCATTCCAAAACAGATATCAGATCTGCCATATCTACTTAGATCGCAAAACTGAATCCCATAATCGAAGGTGGATGTCATCCGCTTCCGATATCCAGCCTCTGAGCCTCGGATCTGTCAAAAATCAGTGTTTTAGTTGTAGTCTGTTACCTGTTTTCTGTTTTGAATCCTGTACATAGAGGAGTTTGTTTATATTATTCCTTTAGAGAGAGAGGAGAGCGAGAGAGAGTCTATTTTGCTGGACTTGGACTGAGGATGCATAAAAGTATCACCTGTTTATCACAGGATCTTTTGTTTTTGTTTTTTTAATTGCAGATACACAAACTAATACACACACACACACACACACACACTGTAAAATAGGGTAATACTTCCGAATTGTTGACGACGAAATTTGAATTGTAGATTTTTGTTCCAATAACTCCCTTTGTATATAATATTCAAATGTGTATGTTAATGGTAGTAATTTATTTAACTTTTGTCTCCTGAAATATGACAGCACCACTTAACTTTTAAATTAGAGATCCAATATGTGCCATTGTTTATCTCCGTGTTAACGTGACTAATGATATATATATTTTTTTTTGGAAACCTTCAGATGTGACTCAAATAAACCCGAAATTTTTTCTTTTTTTTTTCGTTTCTTCCAGTCGTCCTGGTTTTCGTAACGTTTGAGTTTTTTCTCACAGCAAAAACTGCGTAACATTTTTTTTTGTTTGTTTTCAAACTTTTTTTTAAATTCGATTCTCTCATCTGAACCAGGTTGTGTTGTCAATCATGCCATATATTTTTTAGGATTAAACCACTGTGGGGTTCCATGACCTCCTGATATTTGTGTGTGTGTGTGTTGCTTTTGTCTCTGTTTACTGGAGTTTTATTTATATAATATATCACCCTGCAGCCCAGAGCAGATACTCGCTGAAGCAGAGCTGAGCCTGGTCAGTGCCTGGATGGGAGACCACATGGGAAAACTAGGTTGCTGTTAGAAGTGCTGTTAGAGAGGCCAGCAGGGGGCACTCAACCTGAGGTCTGTGTGAGTCCTAATGCCCCAGTATAGTGAAGGGGACACTATACTGTCAGTGTAGTCCAAGGGTGTCAAACTCAATTCCTGGAGGGCCGAAGCCCTGCACAGTTTAGTTCCAACCCTGCTCCAACACACTTACCTGTAGGTTTCAAACAAGCCTGAAGGACTCAATTAGTTTGATCAGGTCTGTTTAATTAGGGTTGGAACTAAACTGTGCAGAGCTGCGGCCCTTTTGGAACTGAGTTTGACACCTGTGCCGTAGTCGGATGAGACGTTAAACTGAGGTCACTAAAAATCCCATGGGATTTCTTGTAAAAAGTAGGGGTGTAACCCTGGTGTTCTTGTCAGATTCCCTCCTTCAGCCCTTGCCCATCATGGCTTCCCAATCATCACCATCCACCGAATTGGCTTTATTACTGTCTCTTCACTCCACCAATAGCTGGTGTGTGGTGAGCGCACTGGTGCTGTCGTCCTGTGGCTGCCATCGCATCATCCAAGTGGATGCTGCACACTGGTGGTGGTGTGGAGAGACCCCTCTCATGATTGTTAAGCACTTTGGGTGTATGACTATTTACAATAAATGTGCTATATAAATACACATACATTCATTTAAGGATGACGTTGTTTACTGATTCCTCACTAAAGCATCAGAACATCTGCCGATTTACTCAATAATAATCAATAAGTAAAATTAGAGGTGAATGTTAGGGTTTAGAAACAGGCGGAGTTCCACATCTGTGAATATAGATTTACAGGGTTCATACGGTCATGGAAAACCTGGAAAAATCAAGGAATTTTGACATGGCATTTTCCAGGCCTGGAAAAGTTTGGGAAACACAAAAAACCCCCACAAAGTTTTGGAAAGGTCATGGAAAATAGTTTAACAATAATATCTGTAAACTTGAGCATAGGTTAGTTGTCTTTACTTCTTGTCTCTGCCAAAAACATGGTCTCACATTAGGAATGCTGCATAAGCATTTATTCATTCATTCATTCATTTTCTTTCAATTTCAGAGGTGCCACTGTGGGAATGAACCGCCATGTGTAAGCACTATCTAAATACATTTTACATACAATAGATTTATGTAATAAATTCAAACTAAATAGATTTGTTTTTTTGTTTTATGGATTTGAGCTTGCATAGTTTTTCATATTATTTATGAAGTGTATATATAAGCAATGTCACACGAGTAGCAGTGTGATATGGCTGTATATCGGCACTGGTGGGAGGCGTGTGTTGCCTTAGTGCCCCCACCAGTGCCGATATACAGCCATATCACACTGCTACTCGTGTGATATTGCGTTTATACAACAGTTTGACGGCATAATTGTGTATATAAAAACAAAATCAAACATGGAGAGTCTCAAAAACCCTTTTGTATGAGGAACTACTTTCTTCCACGTTGGATTAAAATCATAAGCTGACAGTTAAACAGCTGAACAAGCATCTTTTAAACTTTAGATCTGTTGTGTCTGCTTTTTGCTGGCTGTATGTGAGCGGAGTAATACACAAAAGGTAAAGAAGCTGTACGGATCCTGATATTACTTAAATTTATCACGACTATCAACCAATCAGATTCGAGAACCAGACAGAACTGTTGTGTGTATATATATATATATATATATATATAGGCATTCCATGAAACAATAGGTCATGACAATTTACTTGACAGTCCTATAAAAGTCATGGAAAAATTATCTCTATCGTCTTGTTCTGTTGACAGAATATTTTGTGTGTGTTTTCACACTTATAATGATAATACTAATAATACATATTTATTTTGGACAAATTGGTGTGAAATTAATTGTTATTAAATTACTAATAAAGCGATATATACATACAGAATGTATTAAATTCAAGTAAAGTGTCTACCTTAAGGTTTCTAATAAATTTGAAAAAGAATAAATGCATTCACGTGATAAAATATGTAAAACAAAACACATACACAACACTTTTGACCTTTTAAAACACAAACATCTTTATTATGCCACCATCACTTCTGCTAATAAGCAACTGTTACACTGAGTGACATTTTCTGAACGTGTAAAATCATGGTAAGTGTGTATGTAGACATTATTTATGCTCAAAAGAAATTAATGTACAAGGGTTCAGATGTGCTGTTTTAATGCGCACAGCTGTAGTTTGAGCCTCGTGAATTTTTGTGAAGCCCAATAGCGCTATCTGCTGGTAACTTGTTAATACTACAGCAGCCAGTAATTTGGTTATATTAAATGGTATATAACCTAAATAGAGATCAAATATTAATATAGATTTTTAAAAAAGTACATTTATTGGTGGTACATTTTAGTTGGTAGAGCGGAGGACTGTAGCGGTATCATAACACTGTCATCCTTAGGTCGCTGGTTCGAATCCGGCTCGAAGGAGTGTCTTTATTTACTTCGGTTTATACAGCTTACAATAATAACGTGTTCACATTAGAGACTTCGGGGTTGATTGAAACGAACTCTGTAGCCATTTTTGTAAGTGCGGTTCAGTTTAGACGGGGGAACAGGGACAGGATCTTGGGCAGCCCTGGTTTAAGATTATGAACACTGAACAGCCCCGCGAAATATAATACTTTCAGAAATCTCTGTCAACTTCCAAACAAACTACTACGGATTAACCGAAATATCAGCATAGACACGGAATATAGACGTCTATGGCAAGCCGTTTTAACATTTACTACTTTGTTTTGACTATCCATAAATATATTTAGAGATATCTCTAATTATATTTTGACTAGTCATAATTATAATTCGACTAGTCAGAATGACAATTAGAGATATCTGCAATTACATTTGTACTAGTACGAAATCATATTGGAGATATCTGCAAATATATTGTGACTGGTCATATTCCTCCATTGACTTCCATTGAAAAATATTTGCAGATATCTCTAAATGAGTTTTGACTAGTCACAATTGTGATTAGAGATATCTCTAAATGAATTTCGACTAGTCAATTGTAATTAGAGATATCTCTAACTGAGTTTCTACTAGTCATAAGAAGTCGACTAATTCCGCTGCTCCTGACGTCATTTCATACCCTTCGATAGCTCAGTTGGTAGAGCGGAGGACTGTAGCGGATTATCACTGAAATCCTTAGGTCGCTGGTTCGAATCCGGCTCGAAGGAGATTGTTTTTTCAAACATACGACTCGCATAAGCGTATAATTTCAGCTATGTATTGGTAATTAATGAATGACTGAAATTTTGTTTAGCTTGGCACTGTTGAATAAAATTTTATACAAATGTTCGCTTATTTTGTTTATATTTTAAACATTTAACTTTTGTTTTATCAACAGATATTGTGGCTTTTATTTTGAAAGGCTTTTTTCGGTTCCTGTTCACGTGTAGCCGATGACGTAGAATCATAGCTGAAGCGCTTTCTTCATGCTGTTCACACATGGAGAGCTAAACATGGAGAATTCAAGTACAGAAAACGCAACTTACAGCCAGGTAAAGGATGTTTTATATGCGTATGTGTGTTTCTTATCATTCACAGTCATTGTGGCACACTTGGTAGGTACTAAATATATGTATTGTATCCTCTAAAATGTGCATTTATAATTTAAACTTGAGTGATGAATAATTGAGCATGTGCATCAAGCATGAATAGCTGTAGACTAACTTAGTAAGGTTAGAGGAAGATGCAGCTCAGATTTTAAATAGATTTTTAATATATATTAGATTGCAAGTCACGGCATCAGTAACACCGCCACCCTGCTGAGTTAACTTTAATCTTGCATGCTGATTACTTAAAGAGACACTCAATGTTTTTTTTCCCCCTAAATATAATAATAACCATTAGAATTAATTCAACCATCAGCACCTTTGAGAAATGACAAAGATCATGTGCACTCACATAAGAGAATCACATCAGTTTAATAGAAAATGTTTTATTCCACATGTTCTCTTACGGTGTTAATATCATGCTGAATAATAATAATAATAATACTGATTAGGATTGTATGATATTGCAAAATTCTCATATTGCAATTTTTTATTCTGCGATATGAATACAATTTTACTAAATGAGTTGAACCATTTGGAATGGTTTTATAATTTTAGATTGATTTGGGTGGATTTTGTAGGGAAGTGCATAAAATATAAAAAACAATCTAACAGCGTCGATGAGTTCAATAACGAAAAAGATTCAAATGAAATAAACAGTGTTTTTTTGTTTGCAAGTGTTGGGTTGCAGCTGAAAGTTGGCGGTTCATTCTGCTGTGGCGACCCCTGATTAATAAAGGGACTGAGCCAAAAAGAAAATGAATGAAATTGTATTCAGGTATACAGTAATTGAATAATCAAAAGAAAAATAATACCACTTGGTCTTTGTTTTATAAACAATTCAATAAAAGTGATGGTTATAAAATTAAGAAAGGTACAAATGGTACAATTTCTTAGGCCTTAATGCTTTTAAAACCCTCACACGCCTTAGAAATCACTTGCAAAATTATGAATTTGAATCCAGACTTGCGAATGATGACATTACGATATCGATGCTGAAATGATATATTGTGCATCCCTAATAATAATAATAATAATAATAATAATAATAATTGCTATTTTTTCACATCTATATCTTGCACAAATTTTGTTTCTTTTCCAGGATCAAGATGAGACCAAATCTAAAAAAGACGAAATGGAACTGGATATCAAGACTGAAAACACAGATGTGTTAATTGGACCTACAGATGAACCATGCACCAGTGAACAGAGAGACGATCAGATCTCCAGCATTCAGCCTGAACAATCTAGCAAAGAGAATTCAGAACATCAACTTGTAAAAGAAGAAGATTT